CGCGAAAGCCTGGGCTGAGGTCGGGGGTCACGCCGGGTCCGTCTACCGAGGTCTTGGGAGACTGTGGTGTAGACTAGGGTCAAGAGTTCAGGCATCTCGCACTCGGACCTCCTCCTGCGGTCCCCGGAATGGGGAGGGTGAATCCAGGCAGCAGCACGCACCTAGATAAGGAGTTAACCGGGTGAATACTTCCGGGCCTTGTATAGTTCCTGCTCGTTTCCGGAGCGTGGCTCTGGTTGCGGCTTAAAGAGCTCTAAAGTTCTTTGGATGTTTCGTCCTGCGTGCACAGATTTCAAAAGGATCCTTTTCTGTGACCAACTATTTGCTTTTTGTTTTTTTTGGGGGGGGACTCCACCCTCGTTCCTGTGGAGTCCTCGCTGAAAAGGCTAGCAGGCGGTCAGACATCCAGCAGGCTTTGTGAACTTCTCAATGTCATTTGGTGTTTGGAATTTAAAGTACTTTATCTTTTAAAACCTTCTGTTGTTTCATTTCCTCTCTGCCCTTATCCAGCCAGAATGTACAACCCTGTGAAATTCTTCATACAAAACACAATTTGCTTTTGTTGTCATTACTTTTTCTCCCCTTTTTCTTTCTTCTTCTTTTTTTTTTTTCCAGACAGGGTTTCTCTGTGTAGTTTTGGAGTCTGTCCTGGAACTTGCTCTGTAGACTAACTAGGCTGGTCTCAAACTCAACAGATATCCATCCACCTGCCTCTGCCTCCTGAGTGCTGGGATTAAAGGTGTGTGTCAACATAGCGTGGCTGCCATTACTTTAAAAAAAAGTAATTATTTTACTTTTGCGTGTTTTTGTGGATTCCTGTGTGTTCACCACATGCGTGCCAGGTGTCCAAACAGGCCAGAAGAGGGGTTTGGCTCCACTGCAACTGTAGTTACAGCTGTGGTGAGCTGCCTTGTGGATGCTGGGAACCAAACCCAGGACCTCTGAAGAGCAGTAAATACTGAATTGCCGGAGGCATTTCTCTAGACATTCCCTAACCTAACCAAATTTATTTTTTTGAAGAATGAACTTTTCCTACTATTACGAGAATTGACTTTGGCTGTATTTTTAAGTCTCGGACAACTGGTGTAAATACACTTAGACAGATATTGACAAATGTGGATTGGTTCCTCACTGCTGCTTTCTCTATTGTTTTAGGTGTGATTTCCCTCATTACAGCAAGGCACCGTGGAAGTGCAGACTTTCACAGGGGGTGTGGTCTCTGCTCACACAGGTGAGCTCACCTTCAGATACAATTTTGTGTGCATTAATGAAGAAATAGTATGAGATAATGAGAGAATAAGTTAATTGTGAATTTATGGCCTGGAAAACTTTAAATCTTTGTGAGTGTTTTCATGGGGGATTTGACCATGGTGGTGTAACAATGGAACCTCAGCACTACCAGGGATAGTACTAAGAGTACAATTTTCTTCAGAGGTTTGCTTTTTCTTTTTTGGTTTTTTGAGACAGGGTTTCTCTGTGGCTTTGGATGGAGGCTGTCCTGGAACTAGCTCTTGTAGACCAGGCTGGTCTCAGTGCTTTTTCTTTTTTAGGACAGGGTCTCTGGAGAGTCCTGGCTGTCCTGGAATTCACTATATTGACAAGGCTGGTCTCAAATTCACAGAGATCTGCTTGCCTCTGCTTCCCTGTGCTGGGGTTAACTGTGTGTGTCACCAACCTGACTGGCTTCTTCAGTGTTTTGGAATGAGGAGGCTATCTGGATTTAAATTCTCCCACTATTTCCTGTCTTTCTTTTTTTGTTGTTGTTGTTACTGTTTTTTTGTTTTTGTTTTGAGACAGGATTTTTCTGTGTAGGTTTGGAGCCTGTCCTGGAACTTGCTCTGTAGACCAGGTTGGCCTTGAACACACAGAGATCCATGTACCTCTAACTCTAGTGTCTGCCACCATTGCCCAGCATATTTCTTCTTCTGAAAGGAAATGTCATTATGTGGCTGAGGCTGTTCTGGAATGCTTGGATTCAAACAATCCTCTTCACCCCAGTATTCCAAATATGTTCTAACCTCTTCTAGCTAAGCAAGTACTTCCAAGTGTTTGACACACAGCAAATGCTCAAGAAACATGGGGAGACAGGGTCTTATACTGTGTAACCAGGGATGAACTTGAACTTCTGATCTTTTTGCCTTTACCTCCCAAGCTTTGATACTGAAGGTTTATGCCTCCCTGTCGATTTTATGCTTTGTTGGAAATTGAACTCATGTTTTATGTGTGCTAGGTATGCACTCAACCAACTGAACTACCTCCCTATCCCTGGAAACAGTTCTTAACCTCAGCATTTAGGAGGCTGAGGCAAGAGAATAATTATTTCCAGGCCAGCCTAGATGGTGTAGTAAGACCCTTTCTGTGTCAACAAACAACTCTTTTAATGGCCTTTAATTTTATTTTTACTTTTTTTTTTTTTTTTTTTTTTTTTTTATCCAACCATAGGTGCTCCAGAGGTTGGTGGACCTGAGCGGAGGCTGGGACGCCCTGGTGGGCCCCGGGCCCTGGAAGGCAGGTCCCGGTGGCTGGTGGCCCAGAATGAGGCCAGCTCCCAGCATGCCCTGCAGCCGGACACCAGCCCCTCGGCCTGCAGCAGTGGTGATAATAACCCAGTCATTCTTCAGGCATCCAGCAAGGAGCCTGGGAGTGGGACCATGCAGAGCAGCCCCTCCCCTGCTCATCCTCAGCTCCCAGTCCTACAGACACAGGTTTGAAAGTGGGGAGGGTTCCATTGCTTATTTTCTGTAGACTGATAGACTAGGTTTTGAGACAGAAGTGGTGTTGCAGGTCTTAATACCTACCTGAGTAGTTGAGTTTGGACTTTCTTTAGTTTTCAGATAGATTGGGCTATAACATGTCAAGCCTGTTAGATACCTCCTCTTCCTCTTTCTTTTTTAATTTGTTTTTTTCAAGACAGAGTTTTTTTGTGTACTATCCTGGAACACAACTTAACTCTGTAGACCAGGCTGGCTTGGATTTGGATCCATTTGTCTCTCCCTCCCAAGTGTTGGGATTAAAGACTTGGGCTAACATGCCTGGCTTTAGATTGCTTTCGATTCACATAATAATAATGTTGATTTCCAAAAGTGCAAATCTTGAGGGGTGTGTTGGCACATGCTTTTAATCATAGCACTCAGAAGCAGAGACAGGCAGATCTCTATGAGATCAAGGCCAGTCTGGTCTATTTAGTGAGTCCCAGGCCAGTTAAAAGTACATGCATAGTAAGACCCTGTTTTTTAAAAAAAGGAAAAAAAAAGATGCAGGTCTTTCTTAAAGTGGTTGAATTAGGCTAGGCTGGAAATGGAGACTTGGCAAAATGCTTCTAAGACTAAACTAAGAGAATAGTTTAACTTCATTTGGAACTAGAACAGGGTTTGCCTTAAGTGAGGCATTATTTCTTTCCTTGTACTGTGGGAATGTGGAGTGGGGAAAAAGTGTTTTTTAAATTAATTAGATCTTCATTTACATTTAATAGGCTTTTTTCCGACTTTTAATAAGTAAGGGCTTCTTGTGGAGCTGGGGTTTAGCTTATTTGGTACAGTGCTTGTTATGCACAAGGCTCAGAGTTGGGCTCTGGGTTGATTCCCAGTACTGTATTTACAGTATATGGTGACACATACTTGTAATCCCAGCACTTTGAAAGGTGGAAGCAGGATGATCAGAAGTTTGAGGACATTCTCAGCTACATAGGGAGTTCCAGATTCACCTGAGGTACATGTGACCCTGTCTAAAAAGGAAGGAGAGGGAATTGGGAGTTTCCTTATGTACCCCAGCCTCCTGAATCCTAGTTGTACCACCATAGGTAGCTCAATTGATAGTTGGTTCATTTGTTGTGATGACCTTTGAACTTAGGGCCTTATGCATGCTAAGGCAAACTCTTTACTATTGAGCCATATCCCTTTGGGCTTTCAAATGTGTTGCTGGGAGTTAAGTCCAGAGCTTTGCGCAGTCCAGATAAGTAAGCACTCTGTCATTGCTTCAATGGGTTTGATACTTAGACTTTGTCTTAGCTTCTGGGAAATTGTGATATGTCATTTAGCTGGGGTAGGAATTTGAGGCACTTTGAGATGTTGGTTTTGTAGTGAATTTCATAAATGATTTCATTTGCCATATTTCAGTGGGACTTTTTGTTTGTTTGGTTGGTTGTTTTTCAAGATAGGGATTCTCTGTATCCCTGCCTGTCCTGGAGTTCACTGTAGACCTGGCTGGCCTTGAACTCAGAGATCTGCCTTCCACTGCCTCCTGAGTGCTAGGTATAAGGGCATGTGATACCACTGACTTGCTGAGACATCGTTTTGAATTAATGCTTTTACAGTCAATACTGTGTAAAGTAATGTTTTGGTATTTGAGAACAGTATTTAGTTCCATCCTCTGCATTTTCAGTGAAGAAGTTTCAGATCTTTTTTTCCTATGATTTGAAATTAATTCTAATTTATTACATAGGTGAATCTGCCATACTTGCTTCTTAGTTTATGTGAGTAAAATCAAACTTTCCCTGGCTGTGGAAGAGCATGCCTTCAATCCCAGGAGGATCTCTGAGGTAGAGGTCAGCCTGGTCCACAGAGTGAGTTCCAGGACAGCCAGGAGTCTTTCACAGAGAAACCCTGTTTCTAAAAACAAAAACAAACATAACAACAGCAAAATCAAGCTTCTAAAAGGACCTTTAAATTTGAAATCATAGCATGCTTTTGATCACAGCACTCATGAGGTAGAGATAGGCCCATCTCTATGTCTATGTCGTGAGACTGTCTCAAAAACAAACAAAAAGAACAAAAGATCATGCACTGTAGTAGTCTTGTAAAACAAACTTTTGTTTTTGAGAGCTATGCTTTTAGCCATGTAGTAGCAGTCTTGAATTTAGGTAGTTCTGTGTATCAGCATGTATATCTTGCATGTCAGATAGCTACTAGAAATTTGGCTCTAGGGTGGTGGTGCACGCCTTTAATCCCAGCACTTGGAAGGCAGAGGCAGGCGGATCTCTATGAGTTGGAGATTGGCTTGATCTACAGAGCAAGTGCCAGGACAGCCTCCAAAGCCAAAGAGAAAACCTGTCTCGAAAAACAAACAAAAAGAAAAAAAAAAAAGAAAATTGGCTCTATCATTTTAATTACTTTGCTAAAAACAAATTTCATTTTAAAGCCTGGTATGGTGACACTAGCCTCTTAATCCAGCATTTAGGAGGTGGGTTGTAAATCCCAGGCCATACTAGGCTACATAGTAAGACCTTGTCTTTAACTGTAACAGCTTCCCTCTACCAAAACCCCAAAAGAAAACAAACCAACAAAGTGTTTGTGTTGATAAAAATGACAGTGATATCTTATTCTACAGTTTTTTGTTGTGAAGTGGAATAGAAAGAAAATGTATTTAAATCATTTAGCACAATGTTCAGCATCTTTTTTTTTTCAATCATTTTCCCCTTTTCTAGATGGTGTCGGACGGCATGACAGGCAGCAATCCTGTGTCCCCTGCCTCATCTAGTTCTCCAGCTTCTAGTGGGGCAGGTGGCATCTCCCCCCAACATATAGCTCAAGATTCCTCTCTGGATGGACCTCCAGGCCCGCCAGATGGTACCACAGTTCCTCTGGAGGGGTTCAGCTTATCCCAGGCTGCTGACCTGGCCAACAAGGGCCCGAAGTGGGAGAAGAGCCATGCAGAAATTGCAGAACAAGCTAAACATGTATGTATTGGGAAGGCCCATGAAGATTCATGGGAGTTGTCTGTCTTAACTCTATTATCTCATGGGTATTTATTGTCTTTGTTTTTACCCATGAGTTTTGGGTATGGATTACTACTTTGTCTTGAGTATGTTGCTTGAATTAAACCAACCCCTCTCTCCTTGCTTCCCTTTTTTTTTTTGAAGGCTGGAGAAATGGTTCTATAGTTTAGAGCACTGATTAGTTTTCTAGAGGATCTAGGTTCAATTCCCAGTTCCCACAGCTTATAGCTGTCTTTAACCTCGTTGAAGGGAATCCAGTTCCCTCTTGCCTCCTTGTGCACCAGGCAAACCACTCATACATATGCAAAAGAAAGTGACCAACCTTCCTTCTTTCTTTCCATCTAAACTAAGGTCTCATATATGCTAGGCAAGTGTTCACTTTTTTTTAAAGGTTATTTTATTTTTTGTGTATATGAATATCTTGCCTATATGTATGTATACATTACATCCATGCCTGGTCCTTCTGGTGTTCAGAAGAGGATATCTTATCCTCTGGAACTGGCAGTTATGAGCCCCTGTGGGTGGTGAGTGTCAAACTCAGGTCTTATGCAAGAACAAGTGCTCTTAATCACTGAGCCATTTTCCCAGCTGGAGGGAAGTGTTATCACTGGTTATACCTTAGTTTTGACTTTTGTTTTTCAAATAGGAGTGTCTGTTAAGTTTACTCTCAAATTCAGTTTTCTCCATACACTGCTCTGGGGATTGAACTCAAACCTTTGTGCATATACTAGGCAAATTCTCAACCACTAAGATATACCCTGAGTTCTGTTATCAGACTTAAAGGAAGAATTAAAGGAAGGTGTGGTGGCTGTTAACTTTTAATCTCTACACTAGGAGGTGGAGAAAGGATCATGAGTTCAGGGCCAGCTTGACTATATACAATGGTGTCTTTAAAAAAAAGTAAATAATAATTGAAAAAATTATGCTGGATGGTGGTGGCACACACTTTGAATCCCAGCACTCAGGAGACAGAAGCAGGTGAATGTCTTTGAGTTTGATGACAGTCTGGTCTACAGAGTGAGTTCCAGGACAGTCAGATATACATAGAGAAATCCTACTCTGAAATACCAAGAAAGTAAATAAATATGTCTTCAAAAAATAGATGAGGTAGCTTACATTTGTATGCCAAGCACTCTGGAGGTGATGATGCAGGACTGGAAAGTTTGAGCCAACCTGGGCTACAGAGTGAGATAGATGCTATCTCAAAGAAAGCAAAAAGCCAAAAAATAAAAACAAAAAAATAACAAAAACCTTCCACTAATCTAAATAAAAAAAGAATTAGACATTGAAGTACTTTGTAAACTGTGATGGTATTAAACTTTTTTTGTTTTCCCATTTCTGTTCAGTCTGTAGCCTGTGAAATTTTCTGCAAGTGCATGCAATTCCATCTGGGAGCTTAGTAGAAGTGTGTATTATCCATATTTCCTTCTGCCTACCCATTTAAACTTTGGTTTGGTACCCATTAACCTTTTTAATGTCTTTTTTTTGTTTGTTTTTTGAGACAGGATTACTCTGTGTATTTTTGGCTGTCCTGGAATTCACTCTGTAGACCAGGTTGCCCTGGAACTCAGAGATCCACCTGCCTCTGTTTCTTGAAGGAGTAAAACCACTGCTACCCAGCCTAATTCTTTCAATTATTATTTATGTTCATACAAGTGCCTGATGTATGTGGGCTTGCATGTTGTGTCACACATGTGTTGGTCAAGAGGACAACTTTGTAGAGTTAGTTTGCTACCTTTACATGGGTTCTGGCTATAGAACCTGCTCCTTTTTTCTATATGCCTGCCTGCCTCCCCTCTTCCTCCTCCCTCCATTCTGTTTGATTTTGGTATAGGATCTTAACGCTAGTCTGCCCTAAATCTAAAAGTATGTAACTTTCTATGGTGCACCCATCTTAGCACCCAAAGTTCTGGGATTACAGCTGTTAACACACACCTGGTTTGTTCAAAAATTTTTTAAACCTACTTGTTACAAACAAAGTTTCAAATGATTTAATGTTCTTAATCAGAAGTTTAATGAATTGCAGAAGCTTTTAGTAAAAGTGGGAACTTTTTGTTATTGGCAACCGATATTAGTTTGGTTGTATATCTTCAGTGTTTTTCCCATAAAATAAGTTTTTCTAAAATTATTTTGTGTGACTTTTACCCCATCTGCTGTTTGTCAAAAATCCCTCCGTGTTAGAGATTAAATAGAGAGCTTTCTACCTGCTGGATCTAAGCTGTAGCTATCTCTCCCCAAAATAATGTTTTCTTAAAACAAACACAGATGGATGATGGTGGCGCACACCTTTAATCCCAGCACTCGGGAGGCAGAGGCAGGAGGATCTCGTGAGTTTGAGGCCAGCCTGGTCTCCAGAGCGAGTGTCAGGATAGGCTCTAAAGCTAAACAGAGAAACCTTGCCTGTAAAAACAAACAAAAAGACATCTTCCTGCCTCTGTCTCCTGAGGTCTGGGATTAAAGCCATGTGTTACCATACTTGGCTCCCGAGACCTATTTTTGATTCCCAGTTGTTTCCTAGCTGTATGATCTCAGGAAACTCATTGGATTTCCCAGATAATTCCCCACACCACCTGCCAGCAGAGTCTAGTACCTTCTAGAATTGGTAAGAGCATAAGACACGGAGTCCATTAGGGGTGAGGAATTTAGCCATGGCAGTGAGATGGCTTGTATGTTCAGGAACTTTTGATCAATGTCATTACCCCTCATTAGGAAGCTGAAATTGAAACTCGGATTGCGGAACTTCGAAAGGAGGGATTCTGGTCATTGAAAAGGCTTCCTAAAGTGCCAGAGCCTCCCCGATCTAAAAGCCATTGGGACTTCCTATGTGAAGAGATGCAGTGGCTTTCTGCTGACTTTGCTCAGGAGCGCCGATGGAAACGAGGTGTGGCCCGGAAGGTATGTCCTGTTTGCTCTACTGTCCAAATTTTTACAGGTGTGCTTTTGAAACCTTAATGGAGGTGGTGATGGTGGAGCACACTTAATCTCAGCACTAGGGACACAGACGCAGACAAATCTGTAAGTTTGAGGCCAGCCTGGTCTATGGAACAAATTCCAGGACAGCTAGGGCTACACACAGAAACCCCTGTCTTGAACACCTGCCCTTTGCCCCCCCAAAAAAAAAAAATGAAAAAGAAACTTTAGTGGATGAATTACTTGAAAGGTGGAAGGGAACCAGATGAAATTATACTTTTTGTTGCTTTCTGCATTTTAAGGCAAGCTGTAACATCTTGGGTTTCTTGCCCTTGATTGCCTTTCTCTTTGACTGGGTTTTTAAGGAGATTTAGCTTGAGTGATCTTATACTGTGTCTTTATTTCTATAGGTGGTACGTATGGTAATCCGGCACCATGAAGAGCAGCGACAAAAAGAGGAAAGAGCTCGGAGAGAAGAACAGGCCAAGCTGCGCCGAATTGCTTCTACCATGGCCAAGGATGTTAGGCAGTTCTGGAGCAATGTGGAAAAGGTAAGCAGTGAGGTTGAATTAGGTTAGAGGGAGGCATGTTGATAGGACTGACCAAAGTTTACTGAGGAACTAAACACTGCAATTCCAGCTCTTTATGACATTTCCCCATATGTTGGACCTTCCCACTGCTGAATGTCACAAGGAAGAAGGAATTCTTGGCTTCCTTTTCCTACCTACTCAGTTAAAACTTCGGGAGTAGCTTCCAGCAATTTATTTTATAATGGCAAAATAAGCTTGTACCTTTGGGGTTGAGTTGGACTCCTTGACTCCTCTAGACCATCTACTCTTTGTAGGGTGGATAGATAGTATGTTTACCTGCTGATGCCATTAAAATTCCTTCTGCTTATATGTAAATTGTAATTATCTCTGAAGCCCTCTTCTCCCTTTTTGTGTTTGTGTGATTGGTTCTAGGACTCCCTGTGGGCATCTTCTGGTCTGGAGATGTTCAAGTCCAGTATATGAAATGCATGTAACATAATGAACAGATAATTGAAGAATATTAAATATTTCTACAAATTATAAATATTTCTAGATAGTTTGTGATGCATGTTGTGTAAAATTACTACATAAATAGTTGTCATACTGTGTTGTTTGAGATTAGGGGTAATTCTGCATTTCACAGGTCGGCTTTCTTTTTCTTCCCGTTTTGATACAGGGTGCCATGTAACTCATGTTGGCCTCACTCAACTTTGCTTTGTAGCTAAGAATAATCTTGAACTTCTGATCTTTCCACCTTCCTAAGTGCACTTTTTTGTTGTTTATTTTTGAAACAAGGTTTTCATGTAGACCAGGTTTGCTTCAGACTCATCATGTAGCAGAGGCTGATTCTTTTGCCTCTTCTTCCTCTCAAGTGCTGAATTATAGGAGTATCTTGGTGGTTCGTCTTTGAACTCATCTTTTCTTCAGTTTCATTCCTGCTGCAGTGTTTGCTTTATACTTTTTGAAACAGGGTCTCCCTATGTAACCAATGCTGGTATGGAGCCATCTTTAGTCTCCTGAGTTCTGAGAATGTGCCATCTAACAACACCTGGGCTTGAAATTATTTGGGACAAAACAATTTTTTATTACCATTTATTTATTGTGTCTGTATTTGGGTTTGGGGACACATACCATGTTACATATGAAGACTAAAGGACAATTTATGGGAGTCTGTTTTCTGTTTCTGCCATGAATTCAGACCATCAGGCTTGGTATTGAGCCATCTTGCCTGCTCCCTTTCTTTGTGTGCTTGAGACAAACTGTCCTTGAATTTACAGAAATCCTGCTTTAGTCACTCTGCCTAGGCTTGTTTGTTTATATGGAGACAGAGTCTCATTATCTCTGGCTAGTCTAGAACTCCCTGTGTAAACCAGACTAGCAATGAAATCTCATACCTCTAGAGTGTTGAAGGTTCAAGGTGTTTGATACTATGCCTAGAGGCAGAAACTTATTTTTTGAAACATTATTATTATTATTATTATTATTATTTTGGTTTTCCTGGAACTATCTCTTATAGACCAGACTGGTCTCGACCTCACAGAGATCCACCTGTCTCTGCCTCCGGAGTGCTGGGATTAAGGCGTGTGCCACCATTGCCCGGCTAGGTAGAAACTTCTTTTAAAGATTTATTTATTTTGTGTGTGTGTGTGTGTGTGTGTGTGTGTGTGTGTGTGTGCATGCATTTTATGTGCACCACATATATGCAGGTACCCACAGAGGCCAGAGCAAGTTGGATCTCTGGAAAGTGGAGTTATAGGTTATTGTGAACTACCTCACATAAGTGTTAGAAACCAAACTCAGGTTCTCAAGAAGAGCAATACATGCTTTTAACCTCTGAGCCATCTCTCTGTTCCCAAGCCTCACCACCCCCTCCACACAGGGTTTCTCTGTGCAACAGTCCTAGCTGTCCTGAAACTTGCTTTGTAGACCAGGCTGGCCTCAAACTTACTGAGACCCACCTGCCTCTGTCTGCCAAGTTCTGGGGATAAAGTTGTATGCCACCACTACCCGGTTCTATTCCCAGTCTTAAAAAAGACTTTTATTTTCATAATTTTAAAATTATATGTGTATCTGTATATCAGTATGTGATGTGCACATGAGGTTGGTGGCCTTGTAGGTCAGAGATGTTGGGTTTGAAGCTGGACTTACAGGCAGCTGTGAACTGCTAGATGTAGGTGCTGACATTTAAACTCCAGTCCTCTTTAAATGTAGTATGTGCTCGTAAGCTTGGAGCCTTCTCTCCAGTCCCCAGCCCCACTTTTTAAAAATTTAAATTATTTAGATTATATTTATTCATATGTTTATATGCACATAAGCCATAGCTTATTTGTGGAGGTTAGAGGACAACCTGTGGGAGTTGGTTCTCTCTTTCCCGCTCTGGGTCCTGGGGGTTGAACTCAGGTTGTCATGGAAATAAGTACCTTTACCTACTAAGCCATTTTATCAGCCTCATGTTTTTACTTATTGTTGTTTTGGTTTGTGTTTTTGAGATATTGTCTCTCTGCCTAGCCCTTGCTGTTCTGGAACTCCATCTGTAGACCAGGCTGGCCCCCAAATCACAGAGATCCACCAGCCTCTGCCTGCCAAGTGCTGGGGTTAAAGTGAGTGCCGCCTTGCTTTTTTTTTTTTTTTTTTTTTAAGGTCCAACTTGTCGGGCGTTGGTGGCTCACATCCCAGCACTCGGGAGGCAGAGGCAGGGTATCTCTGTGAATTCGAGGCCAGCCTGGTCTACAAGAGCTAGTTCCAGGATAGCCTGCAAAGCCACAGAGAAACCCTGTCTAGAAAACAAAAAAACAGTTCAACTTGTGATGGATTTGCTGATCTTCTTCAGCTCCTTGATACTAAGTTGGACATCTCCCTTGTATGTATTCAGTTTCTGTGTCTCTTAAAGTGCTGTATAAATCACAAGCCCTTTAAGGGATTTTAGCTTTCTTTTCTGAATAATCAGGCCAAAGGCCTGCTGTAAAGGTATTATTCCTAAAGTTTTGGCTTTGAATATGTGGGTGACTGATGCCTTTTGTGGTTATGGTAGGTGGTACAATTCAAACAACAGTCCCGGCTTGAAGAAAAGCGTAAGAAAGCCTTGGACCTGCACCTGGACTTCATTGTGGGACAAACTGAGAAGTACTCAGACCTTCTGTCTCAGAGCCTTAACCAGCCACTAGCCTCCAGCAAAGCTGGCTCCTCCCCCTGTCTTGGTTCTTCCTCAGCAGCATCCAGTCCTCCACCCCCTGTTTCTCGGCTGGATGATGAAGGTGTGTGTGCTCTTTGGTCCTGTTACTTTTCCCAAGTGCCCTTTCCAGAGCTGAAAAACCCACCCTGTGGCTTGCAGGGCCCGTGGACTTTGTGACCTTGTTCTCCTGCTATAGATGGGGACTTCCAACCCCAAGAGGAAGAAGAGGATGATGAGGAGACCATTGAGGTTGAAGAACAGCAGGAAGGCAATGATGCAGAGACCCAGAGGCGAGAGATTGAACTGCTTCGACATGAGGGAGAACTTCCACTGGAAGAGCTGCTCCGTTCCCTCCCCCCTCAGCTATTGGGTGTACCTTCCAGCCCCTCTCAAACACCCTCATCTCATGACAGTGATGCCCATGATGGGCCTGAAGAGAATGTTGAAGAGGAACCGTCTCAGGATTTGGAGGTATATACAGAAGAGGTACAGAAAAGAAGATTAGAGGGGAAATAAATGGGGGGGTTTCATTTCTGAAATCCTGGGCTTAGGTTGATCCCAAGTTTTGAGAATCAGGGTTGAAGGCAGTTGGGGTTTCATTGCTAGAGAAAATGATGGTTTGGGTCAAGTTACAGCCTGCAGTTGGCATGGTTTCTAATAATACAATGGAAACATTTATTGTACTTTAAATTTTCTAGGGGAGGGCTAGAAAGGTAGCTTAGTCGGTAAAGTACTTGAGTTCACTCCCCAGTTTCCTACATAGAAAATGGATTTGCAATGGTATGTTTCAGGAGGCTCTGTTTAAGAGGTAGACCTTAGGAGCATCCTAGGGCTTGTTGGCTAGCTTGTCTAGCCAAATCAGTAAGCACCAAGTTCATTCAAGAGTGATTGAGGAAGACACCAGACAATGAACTATGGTTTCCACAAGCATGCAAAAATGTGCAATTATACACACATATATAAGTTGTTAGGTAATGTGGATTTGGGAACTGTGATGGTCTTCTTAAAAATCTCTTGGAGAACTCTCTCTCCACTTTTTTTCCAGATGGGCCTATTCACACCCCGTCTACTCTTTACAAATAAAACTCTTAAGTGGGGTTGGGGAGAGATCTCTTGGAGCTGCATGTAGTGTCACACACCTTTATCTCAGCACTCAGGAGGCACAGGCAGGCAGATCTTGGAGGCCACTTTGATCTCCATAGTGAATCCTAAGACAGCAAGAGAGGTACATTGTGATCCCCTCTCTCAAAAAACACAAACACAAACAGAAAACTCTTGGACCTTTGTACCATTGGTCTTAATGCATGTTAAGGATATTTTTAAAATTACTGTTATTGTTAATTTTGAAACTTTATATACCCTCAGCTGTAATTATGTATAGATTTGTGTGTCTCTGTGTGGATATGTATATATGAGTAGATGCCCACAGAGGCTAGAATCTTCAATTCCCCCAACCTAGAGTTTATAGACGGCTGTGAACCACCTGATAAGGGTAGAATTGAACTTCGGTTCTCTGGAAGAGTAACAAGTATTCTTCTTAACTGATCGGCCATCACTCTGGCCATTTATTTACTTTTGAATTTCATTTTATTTTTTGGAGACAGGGTGTTGCTACATTGTCCTGGCTGGACTGGCATACGTGTAGACCTAAGAAAAAAATTAGGGTTTGTGGGTATGCATGTAGAGGTCAGAAAACATGCGTTCCAGGGATTGGGTTATCAGGCTTACTAATGACCACTTAACCATTTCAATGGTACCCTCACTCCCTTCCTTTAGTTTTTCTTTTTGTTTTGGTTTTTTTTTGTTGTTGTTGTTGTTATATTTTGTTTCTGAGACCGCCTCACTATCCCTAGCTGGCTTGGAACTCATTATATGAACCAGCTGGCCTCAAATTCAAAGAGCTCTGCCTCTAGAGTGCTTGAATTAGGGCATGAGCCACCACACCTGGTCCTGCTTTGTTTATTTCCTAGCACTTTTCACAGGTCCTCCCTTCGTCAGTGGGGTCAGGATTTGGTAGCTGGTGCTGAGAGAAAACCCTTGATTACATCCTTGCCCTGATACTGTACCAGAGGCAGCTGTTACTCAAGGGAACAGAAGTGCTTTTCTGATCTTTTTAAAAAGATTTTATTTATTATGTATACAACATTCTGCTTCCATGTATATCTGCAAACCAGAAGAGGGCACCAGATCTCCTAACGGATGGTTGTGAGCCACCGTGTTGTTGCTGGGAATTGAACTCAGGACCTCTGGAAGAGCAGTCAGTGCTCTTAATGTCTGAGCCATCTCTCCAGCCCGACTTTCTGATCTTGAACTCTGTGCCTTTCACTTAACTTATTTGCTTAATTGTTTGCTTGTTTGTTTAGGCTTTTTGAACGGGGTTTCTCTGTATAATAGTTTTGACTGTCCTGAAACTTGCCTTGTAGACCAGGTTGGACTCAAACTCACAGAGATCCCCCTGCCTCAGCCTCCCAAGTACTGGGATCAAAGGTGTTTGCCTCCATGCCCAACTTGTTGTTTGACACTCTGGCTGTCCTGAAACTCACTATGCAGACCAGGCTGGTCTTGAACTTACAGAGTTGCCTCTGCCTCCCAATGCTAGGATGAAAAGCTTTTGCCACAACAACCCAACTTTGTGCTCAAATGTTAAGTTCTCCCACTTTTTACCCTTTCCTGAACAGGTAAACCCTCCACCGTCCTCTGATACACAGTGCAACCAACAGCATTGGCATCCAGATGAAGATGATGAAGAGTTTACTGCCAATGAAGATGAAGGTCAGACCTGTTTTGTCTTTTTTGTTGTTTGTTTTCTTGGGACAGGTCTATTATGTATCCATGGCTATAGAACCAGAACTGGCCTTGAATTCACTTGTGTCTGCTTCCAAGTGCTAGGGTTAAGGGCATGTGTCACAATGTTCTGCTCTTTTGTAATTAATTGTGTTTATTTTTTGACATTCCATACATGAGTATAATGCATTTTCATTTCTCTCACCTTCCACCCTTGTCAACCTTCCATCTTCCCTATACATCCCTTTCCTACATTTATGTCTTTGTTTTGTTTTCCACCGAGTTTTTAGCCAGGACTGTGTGTGTGATCATGGTTTTGGAACTATCCTTTTGGGCTCACCAGTGGAAACTTCATTCTCTTTGTAGCAGAGGATGAAGAGGACACCATAGCAGCTGAGGAGCAGTTAGAAGGAGAGGTGGATCATGCCATGGAACTGAGCGAGCTGGCTCGAGAAGGTGACATTTACCAGATACTTTACTGAAAATCTATTTTCTGTCTCTCCTCTGAAGAAAATTGTTGGATAAATAGACAGTAAATCTGATATTTTTGTCTTTGTAGCTTTACAAACTAATTTTTACCTATGGTTCTCATGTAACTCAGGTATAATGACAAAGAGATTTGTAAATGAAAGGCACTTATAAGAAGAGTTACTGTAGCAGGATATGAATAATATTTGGCCAGAATTTTAAAAGGGTGGTTCAGTGGCTCAGGTGACAATGATAGCCTCAGCATTACTGGTTTGGGTATGGTGGCTTGGTATCTGGTTAATGAAGATCCTGCCAAGTAAAGCTTGAGCTCAGACTGGTAGAAGAGCCTGGACATGGGCGCTCTGAGAAATCAGTAGAGCTTTTAGAAAGAGAAACCTGGGGCTGCAGAGATGGCTCAGAGGTTAAGAGCACTGACTGCTCTTCCAGAGGTCCTGAGTTCAATTCCCAGCAACCACATGGTGGCTCACAACCATCCGTTATGAGATCTGGTGCCCTCTTCTGGTGTGCAGATATACATGGAAGCAGAATGTTGTACACATAATAGATAAATAAAATCTTGAAAAAAAGAAAAAGAAAGAGAAACCTAAGAAGGGTCGAAACTTCTGAGAGACCGCAAAGAAACACTATGATGATGTGATCAGGTACCATGAAAAGGAGATTGAGCATCTGCAGAATAAGAAGATAAGTCTAAAACCTGAAGATTAAATGCACACTATTGTTCATTTGTATAGAACCATAGTTTCTGAGTAATTAATATTTGGTTTGTGTGCTGCTAATAGATAAGTTACTATCAGTGAAAAAAAGGCTTTTTTCCTGTTGTTATCCTGGTTTGTTTTGTTTTGTTTTGTTTTCATTTTTTTTTGTCTTAATTTTTTTTTCAGATTTTTTTTTTTATTTGAATTAGAAACAAGATTGTTTTACATAACCATCCCAGTTCCCTTTTCCCTCCCGTCCTTCCCTACCACCCATCACATGTCCTTTCTGCTCCCCCTGAATGGTGAGGCCTTCCATAGGGTGTCATCAGAGTCTATCATATCCTTTGGGATAGGGCCTAGGCCCACCCCCAAAGTGTCTTGGCTCAGGGAGTATTCCTCTATGTGGAATGGGCTCCCAAAGTCCACACCTATGTTAGGGATAAGTACTGATTTCCGAAGTTTCCTCAATGAAACCCATGTTCCTGGGGTCTGGATCAGTCCCATGCTGGTATCCCAGCTATCAGTCTGGGGAGCAAGAGTTCCCAGATGTTCAGGACAGTTGTTTCTGTGGGTTTCACCACCCTGGTCTGGACCAGTTTTCTCTTCACTCGTCCTTCTCTGCATCTGGATTCCAGTTTAGTTCTGTGATTAGTTGTGAATGTCTGCTTCTATTTCCACCAGCTGCTGGATGAGGGCTATTGGGTAGCATATAAGTCAATCATCAGTCTCATTATCAGGGGAGGGCATTTCTCATTAACAGAGGAGGGCTCTCCTCTGTTGCTCAGATTGTTAGCTGATGTCATCTTTGTAGATCTCCAGACATTTCCCTAGTGCCTGATTTCTCTGTAAACCTAAAATGTCTCCCTCTATTATGGTATCTCCATTCTTTTGTTTGTTTGTTTGTTTTTGTTGTTTTTTGTTTTTTGAGACAGGTTTTCTCTGTGGCTTTGGAGACTGTCCTGGAACTAGTTATTGTAGTCTAGGCTGGTCTTAACCCCACAGAGATCCCCCTGCCTCTGCCTCGAAAGTGCTGGATTAAAGGCGTGCACCACCAACGCCCAGCTGGTATCTCCATTCTTGTTATCTTCTATTCTTCCCCTGACTCAACCTTTCTGCTCCCTCATGTCTTCTGCATCCCTCCTCTTCTTCCCTTCTTATTCTCCTAGCTCCCCCTACCCCACCCTACCCCCCATCCCCACCACCCCCTTTCTTATTGTCCTTCTCTGGACAGTGCCACACTTACTATGATTGTTATAAGGATTGGTTTTATTAGCTGATCCTAAATGTAAACTCCGTAGTCTCCCTGTAGATCTGGGCCTGGGAGATGGCACTTAGGTAAAATAAACAAGTACCACTCAAATAACTACTTTGCAATCCTCGCAAAGGAACCAAATGTTTACTTCTCTTTTTCCCTATCAGGTGAGCTTTCTATGGAGGAGCTACTGCAGCAGTATCCAGGGGCCTATGCCTATGATGCATCTGCTCCAGGCTCTGGGAATAGCGAAGAGGAAGATGAGATTGAAGCCAATAGTTACGACTGTGAACTAGAAGAAACAAGAGAAGTTGAAGAGGCAGCTCAAGAAGACAGCAATCAGTCAGGTAAGTATGTAGTTCAGAGGATAAGGGAGGGGGGGCAGCTGTTGGAGGAATAGCTTACTAAGCTTTGGTATTGTGATTTAGATTCTGCTGAAGAGCAGAGTGAGAATGAGGAAGATGAACATTCTGAGGAGGAAGAAATGAGTGGGAGTTCACAGTCAGAAGAATCTGAGTCTGATGAGTCTGAGGATGCTCAGTCACAAAGCCAAGCAGATGAAGAACAGGAAGAAGATGAAGGAGATGATGATGACGATGACAATGATGATTTTGGGGTGGAATACTTGCTTGCTCGGGATGAGGAAAGGAGTGAGGCAGATGGGGGCAGTGGGCCTCCTACCCCAGGTCCCACCACCACTCTCGGGCCCAAGAAAGAAATTACTGATATTGCTGCAGCTGCAGAAAGTCTCCAGCCCAAGGGTTATACTTTGGCCACTACCCAGGTATCCATAGGTTACAGTTCCGCTTTCTCATATCTTGACTTTATTGTTTCCTAGTAATAAGTGCCTCATTTCCACCATGTGTGATAATCTCCTCTCTGTTAGGTGAAGACACCTATTCCACTTCTCCTACGGGGCCAGCTTCGAGAGTATCAACACATTGGCCTTGACTGGCTGGTTACTATGTATGAAAAAAAGCTTAATGGCATTCTTGCAGATGAGATGGGACTGGGGAAGACAATCCAGACCATCTCCTTGCTTGCTCACTTGGCCTGTGAGAAAGGTAGATTCTTGTTGGGGCCTCTTGGATAATTACTGGTGGGGAATCTTATTTAGTAGTGATTTCACCTGAAGGAAAGTGAAAAATACCTGTTCTCTTCCTGCTGTCTTGGTAGCTTCATTGAGTCTTGTCAGTAACTATATAAGGAGGACAACATAGGTGCTGACATCTTAAGCAGCATCAGAAGATGCTAGTCAGGGTTCTGTTTAAGGAGCCAGAACTGTAAGGCCTACGTAGTCTTATTATCTTTTCTTTTGCTAAACAGGTAACTGGGGTCCTCATTTAATTATTGTTCCTACCAGCGTGATGTTGAACTGGGAGATGGAATTAAAACGTTGGTGTCCCAGCTTTAAAATCCTCACTTACTATGGAGCTCAGAAAGAAAGGAAGCTCAAGCGGCAGGTTTGATATTCCATGTGTCACTTCTCTTAATAGTTTTAGATCCTTTCCTCATACACATTACTTTGCCTTAGTTTCCTATGGTTCTATTCTCTTGCTGGTACTGTTTCATTTCTTCTAGCCTGGTTTCTGTCCTTGAGTACTTTAACATGCATTCCCTTCCTCTTTGTGTTTTTCTGTGTGCTTTTCCCACTTCATCATATGCTGCTTTCTTTTTGACCTCTTAGGGCTGGACCAAGCCCAATGCTTTCCATGTGTGTATCACATCTTACAAGCTGGTGCTACAGGATCACCAGGCTTTTCGTCGAAAGAACTGGCGCTATCTCATTCTGGATGAGGCTCAGAACATCAAGAATTTCAAGTCCCAACGGTGGCAGTCACTCCTGAACTTCAACAGGTAAAGATGAATATAGAGATTCATGGGAGAGTTGTTTTGCCATGAAGGGTTGGCTACCTGGGTTAAGAAGTATATTAAAGGTGGTCAGAAAGTTGGGATTTTCATAATTCCTTCTCTTTACAGCCAGAGGCGCTTGCTGCTGACAGGAACTCCCTTGCAGAATAGCCTCATGGAGTTGTGGTCCTTGATGCATTTTTTGATGCCACATGTCTTCCAGTCTCATCGAGAGTTCAAGGAATGGTTCTCTAACCCTCTAACTGGCATGATTGAGGGAAGCCAAGAATATAATGAAGGTCTAGTCAAACGCCTTCACAAGGTAGTGCTTATATTGTTGTAAATGTATTAACAATAGTAAAAGCTAAGGGCAATACCTAGTAACGATTTAGAGGGAGAAGTCAATGCGAGGCTGAACTAAGTTGTCAGGTTGTATTGTTCCAGAGAATAATCATTGCCAAGCTGAGCAGTCTTGCGTTAGTCATTCTTTGTTTTCTGTAGTTGGGATATTTTCTTTGAGTCTTGTTAGTGATTTCTCTTTATCTGGACAAATTTATTTTTTAGATTTTTATTTTTATATGTATAGTGTTTTGCCTGCATATGTTATGTACATCATACACCTTGCCTAGTGTTCAAGGGAGTCAGAAGAGTGTGAATACTCTGGTAATGAGTTACAGACAGTTGTGAGTTGCTGTGTGATACTGGGACTTGACCCAGGCTCTCTGTAAGAGCAACCGGTGCTCTTAACCACGGATCCATCTCTAACCCCAGTCTGGATGTGTTTAATGTGTTCTGTTGGAGTTTTTGTTGTTGTTGTTGTTGTTGTTTGTTTTTTTGACACAGGGCCTCTCTGTGTAGCCCTGGCTGTCTTGGAACTCCATACATAGACCAGGCAGTCTGGCTTGGATTCACAAAGCTGAAACCAAGAAGAAGAAGAAAAAAAAAATGCTTTTTCTTTCATTGAGCTGTGTATTCACAGAGCCACAGATTTTACTCAGCTTCTCTCTTAGATTATTATTTATTTTTATTAATACCTTGGTAAGGTTTTCATTAGGTTGCTCAGATTGGTCTTGAATTCCTGGGTCCAGGTAATTTACTTCACTCTTTGAAAGTGGCTAGAATTACAGTCACACAGGTTATTGTTTTGTTGTTGTTGTTGTTTTTTTGTTTTTGTTTTTCGAGACAGGGTTTCTCTGTGTAGCTTTGGAGCTCTGGAGACCAGGCTGGCCTCGAACTCACAGAGATCCGCCTGCCTCTGCCTCCCGAGTGCTGGGAATAAAGGTGTGGGTCACCAACACCCGGCCATGCCTGGCTTATTTTTGTAATCATGTGACAGTCATTCCTCCAGATATAATTTGAGTCTTCTCTCTTTCAGAGTTAGTTTGCTCTTGGTGCATCTTTGTATGTTGATGTATAATTATTTTTGTGTTTGTCATCTTTATAAACAGTAAATTACATGAAAGGAAGATTTGCATCTGAGTGTAATTGTTATCTGACATGCTTGATGACAGTTTGCTGATGGATTAACCCAGTATGCTGCCTGTTCTGGGGCCAAGAACCATCCAGATGGACTATGGGGAGTTTAGTGCCCACTCTTCTGTTAGCAACCTACTTACTTGCTTTTAGGTCCTGCGACCTTTTTTGCTTCGCCGAGTTAAGGTGGATGTTGAGAAGCAGATGCCCAAAAAGTATGAGCATGTTATCCGATGCCGGCTTTCCAAGCGCCAACGCTGTCTCTATGATGACTTCATGGCACAGACCACGTAAGGGAGGACTGAGGGCAGACCCTGTTACTCTGGGTTAGAATCCAGGTAGCTGTCAGAATGTCCCTTATTTATTTTTCCTTTCTCCCCAGAACTAAGGAGACACTAGCTACAGGCCATTTCATGAGTGTCATCAACATTTTGATGCAGTTGCGGAAAGTCTGCAATCATCCAAACCTATTTGACCCTCGACCTGTTACCTCCCCTTTCATTACCCCAGGCATCTGCTTTAGCACCGCCTCTCTGGTGCTAAGGGCTACTGATGTCCACCCACTCCAGGTATGTAGTTGCCCCTAAGGTTAGTGGTTTCTTATCCAAACCTCCTATCTCTTTAGGATCTGATCTTTTGCATGTTTACTATTTCTGTATTTTGTCAACTCAGTACTATTTTCCTAGCTTCATTATTTTCTAGTCACGCGATCTTTGGCAAGTTAATTATTAGCTTAAGTTTCTCCTTGTCCATAAAAGCAAGAATTGTAAGGTCTAGTGTGCAGTGTACCTGAGAATCAAGTTAACACTTTTTGAAAATGTAAGTCATATCTATAACTATTTGGTAAATAATATTTTTTCTTATTCCTTCCATTTCTTTTTTTTTTTTTTTTTTTGAGACAGGGTTTGACTATGTATCCTTGGCTGATTTGGAACTCACTATATAGACCACGCTGAAGAGATCTGCCTGCCTCTGCCTCCCCCATACTGAATCAAAGACATGCACTCCCAGGCTTGGTCTTTCCCACCTTTTGAGATAGGGTCATCTACATCAAATTCCTAATCTTTCTGCCTCTGCCTTCTCAGTACTGGGATTACAGGCATGTGCCATCAACCTGAATCCCTTAATTTTGTAATTGTGGTAAAATATAGTCAACAAAATTATCACTTTAACCTATTTTAAGTCTACATTTCAGTAACATCAACAACATTTATGTTGTGTAGTCATCTCCACCATCCATTTGCAGAACTGCTTTTGTTTTCTCAAGCTAAAACACTGTACCTATTGAGCAATTGTGTCTGTCCGTACCCCCCCACCCCCGTCCTCTGACATCTACCATTTTATTTTGTTACTGTTATGAAGTCATAAAGTACTTGTTTGTTTATCCACACTGTAGCATATGTTAAAAAAAACAATCCTCCCCCAATCCTTTTTTTTTTTTTTTGAGATAGGGTTTCTCTGTGGCTTTGGAGGCTGTCCTGGAACTAGCTTTTGTAGACCAGGCTGGTCTCGAACTCACAGAGATCCACCTGCCTCTGCCTCCGAGTGCTGGGATTAAAGGCGTTTGCCACCAATGCCCAGCCCCCCAATCCATTTTTAAAGTTAATATTCCTTCTTAAAGAGAATATTAGGCTTGGGGTATAACTCAATTGCTAGTGTGCTTGCTTAATGTGTACACAGCATTGAGTCTGATCCCCATCACTGTATCAGCTGAACACATACGGTGGTCCATACTTGTGAGGTGTGAAGGTTACTGGATTAAATATTCAAATGCATCCTCAACTGTATAGTTTTAGACTAGCCTTGCAGTACCTGAGACTTTGATACTGAGCCAAAAAAGGTTGGGTTATTTTTATCAGTCACATTATAGTTGCATAGTTTATAATCCTAGTGTTTAGTAGCAGTCTAAATAACAAGCTTTACATAAATACCACACCTCCTCCCCCAGATAAAAGATGCTGAAAATTAAGAGGCTGTAGTTAACAAGATTATGGAGAACAAACAGGTCACCATAAAACACTTGGTTAACATGTATTAGTATTCTCACACATAAACTAGAAAGAAGCTAGGGAGGGAAGTAGCTCCTTGGAGATGTTTTTCCTTTACCCTTTTCTTTCTTTTTCTTTTTGGTTTTGGTCCTGGCTATCTTGGAACTCACTTTGTAGACCAGGCTGGCCTCAAACTCAAAGAGATCCACCTGCCTCTGCCTCCCAAGCGCTGGTATCAAAGGCGTGTGTCACCACCACTCAGCCCTTTACTCTTTTTCTTGAAGTGCAAAAAAGGTCAGGAGCCTGGTATCCAGCAAAGTGATACTGGTTTTCATTTATACAAATAGCCTGGAAACGTGGCAGGCTGTGAGGTGACCTGTCAGTCCCTAATTCAGATTCAGCTCCTGAATGAAAGTGGTAGAGTTACTTCTGGGACTTCTGTCAGAGTCATGGAGCCATTTTGGATGTAAATCTTGATGATAATAACTGAGCCTCTTATTCTCATCATACATATGGTGCTCCTTGAGAGTGACTAGTTAAGTAAAAAACCTGGACCTCTGCCTAGCCCTTTCCCACCTTCCCTCCTTTCTCCACTGGGGGAAAAGAAAAAAGAAAAAACAAAACCTGGTTTTCCCTTTGTAGCTTAGAGGCTATGATTGCCAGTTTCTCAAAATGGGATATTAATGTCCCTTGTAGTGGAATTAAGTGCCCTCTCACAGCATGGCTATTAGGTAGACAGGATTCCTTTTCCATACTAATCAGCTATCCTGTTTAGGGGAGAGCAACAGAAACTAGAATTCACAAGGCCCACAGTTTTGTCCACTTCACTTCCTCACTTCTCTTCCAGAATATATGCTAGCCTTACTTTGACTTTGAAGAATTGGCTCACTGTGGGGGCTAGCAGCCTGGGAGTTTTTATAGGGCTGGCCAGCAGGGTGGAAATCAAGGAATTCCAGGTGAGAATTTTTGTTGGTGAGGCCAAAGCCAAAAAGTGCTTCAGATGCTCTTCTCAGACAGATTTCTTTTCTCAGAATAAGTAATATTTTATTCTGTGGATAATGCCACATTTTATTTATCTGTGAGTGGACATTTGACTTGCAGATTCTACCATTTGAATGAATTTATTTTTTAAATTTGTTTATTTGAGACAGGTGTTGCTATGTACAGGTCATTCTTGAACCCAAGACCTTTCTGCTTGGCCAAATGCTGAGGTTACTGGCTTGTACTGTCATACCCATCTTTCAGCTTTTATGAACAATGCTACTATAAATATACAGATAGTCTGAGTTCCTGCTTTCTCATTTGAGTCTGTGCTCAAAGTTGTGCCAGGAATGGTGGCACAAGCTTTTAATCCCAGTACTTGGGAGGCAGAGATAGGTGGACCTCTGAGTTTGAGGCCAGCTTGGTTTACAAATAGAGTTCCAGGGTACCCTGGGCTGTTAACAGAGAAACCCTGTCTCGAAAAACCAAAAAGGAAATAAACAAATAATACCAGTTTAAAACAAACGAAGTTGCTGTGTCATGTAATTCTATTTCTAATGTTTCTAGGAGCTGCCTTATTTATCCATAGCTGCTGCTATATATTTTATATTTCTACCACCAGTTTTTTAGGGCTTCTGTTCATATCCTTTCCAAAGGATTTTTTTAAAGTAATAACTGTTAATATGTGAAGTGGTATTTCATTTTAGTTTTGATTTTAATTTCTCTAATGATTGTTGTTGATCCTCAACGTCTTTTCATGTGCTTATTGATCATTTATGTCATTAGAAATGTGTATGTATCCAAGACATTGCTGATTTTTTTTTTTAACAAAAGCAGTTGTTTTGTCATTAAGTTCTTTGTTTACTTTGGAAATTAACCTCTTGTCAGATATGTGATACACAGGTGTCTTGGCTTTCTGTGGGTTTCCTTTTCACTCTGTCCTTCCATTCACAGAAATTTCAATGTCCAGTTTGTCAGTTTTCTTTTTCTTCTTTTTTTCTGTGACATCTTTACTTTTGATGTCATATCTAGGACATTATTATCAAAATGGTTCCATGTGTTTCTTGTGGCAGCGAATTGACATGGGTCGGTTTGATCTCATTGGCCTGGAGGGTCGAGTCTCCCGATATGAGGCTGACACATTTCTACCCCGCCACCGTCTTTCCCGACGCATTCTGTTAGAGGTAGCTACTGCTCCTGATCCCCCACCTCGACCCAAGCCTGTCAAGATGAAGGTCAACAGGTACATGCATTAAGGAATGGAGAATTTTTTTTTTTTAATAAGAGGAGGAATTGGAATAGACATACTTGTAAACTGTGTTAATGCATACAGAGTGTGAGGGATTGGGGGAGCAGAATGACTGGAATATCTGAGAGGGACTCCTGTGTTGCTGATGTTTTTGTTCTCCTTGGTACTTTCTGGTTATCTCTGGTTCCCTGTTCTCCTTAAGAGGGGGGAGGGTCTCTCTTCTTTCTTCTTTTTGTTTGTATAGCCTTTCTGCCTGGTCTTAATTTCTTTTGTTACTTATTCTCCTTCTGTGTCTACTGATACCCTTTAATTTTTCCTCACAGGATGCTGCAGCCAGTGCCCAAGCAAGAAGGCCGTACAGTGGTGGTGGTGAACAGCCCACGGGTGCCTCTTGGCCCTGTCCCAGTCCGTCCCCCTCCAGGCCCTGAGGTCTCACCCCAGCCCACCCTTGGTCCAGTCACCCCAGTGCTGCCAGCACCACTCATGGTGTCAGCTACACCTACTGGAACCCCAGTTGTTCCTGCATCCCGACCACCTGGACCTGTTCTTTTGTCTCCCTTGCAGCCAAATACTGGTCCTCTACCCCAGGGTGAGTTGAAAACAAATGTAATGGGGTTGCTTCTGGGTGCAAAGTAGTGAAATTAAAAGGATTAGGGCGTATAGCTCTCAGTAGGTTAGAAGGAATGGTAGTATGGACACTTTTGCAGCCCAGCTAAGGTGTTTGTCAAGATGTATCTGACATATGTTTCTATCTGTAGTGTTGCCATCCCCCATGGGAGTCATGAGTGGAACCTCACGGCCTCCCACACCAACCTTGTCACTGAAGCCAGCCCCACCTGCCCCAGTTCGCCTGAGCCCAGCTCCACCTCCAGGCTCCTCTAGCCTGTTGAAGCCCCTCACAGTGCCTCCAGGCTACACTTTCTCTCCTGTTGCTGCTAATACCACTTCCACCACCATAGCAACTGTTACCACCACAGCAGTGGCAGCTCCGAATTCTACACCACAACGCCTCATCTTATCTCCTGAAATGCAGGCTCGTCTGCCCTGTAAGTTATCAGGCCTATGTAATGAGGGTATTCAGATACAAAAAGCTACATGCTAGAGAACTGTAGGAAAAGAGGAACAAAAAAACAAAGTTCTAGGCAGCTAGTTCACATTAGGTGTTTTTGCTTAGATAATGGTAAATCATAAAAAGAGACCTCAAGGAATTCACAGTTTGTTCTATGGGGGAAATGGCCCATACATGAGTGAATAGTGGCAAGCTTATCGAGATAAATATTTGGAGGATGGTGATATAATTCAGTGGTAAATTACTTACCCAACATGTATAAGACCCTGAGTTTAATCTCCTGGATGCAAATCATGAGAAAAATAAATTAGGGTAAAGAACAAGAGGTAGTGGTTGCCTGGTAGCAAGCCATTAAAGAATAGAAAGGAAATTAAGACAAATGGCACTGGACACAAAGGCTCTCATTGGAGGCTTAATTTGTTGAACATGATAAATTATGGGAAAGGTTTAGACTCAGGAAGATAGGTGTTTTGTGGGGGTCTGAGATGTGGTTTTGGACAGCATGAGCCCTGTGTACAAAAGTCTTTCTCTGTTTGTAGCTGGAGAAGTAGTCAGCATCGGGCAGTTGGCCTCCTTGGCACAGCGTCCAGTGACGAGTGCTGGGGGAAGCAAACCTCTCACCTTCCAAATCCAGGGCAACAAACTGACTTTGACTGGTGCCCAGGTGCGCCAGCTGGCTGTGGGGCAGCCCCGCCCGCTGCAAAGTAGGTAAAACCCACCCCCTGTCCTGCCTTTTTCCTCTTGTCTTCTCTGTTTGTGTGACTTTTTAGATGTCAGCCTTTATGTTTGCTTTGGTGGGTAGGGCCAGAGGGAATGGTGGAAGGGGTCTTTGCTAAAAATAGGAAAAAATAATTCTAGAGCTGTTACTTCTTGCCTATTCTCTCTCTTGCTCTTGCCTCTGCCCTCAGGTTGATAGGTGCTTCTTTCTTTTTTTCTTTCTCTCTTTCTCTCTTTTCCCTTAACCCAGGGAATGTGGTGCACCTGGTGTCAGCAGGGGGGCAGCACCACCTCATCAGCCAGCCTGCCCATGTGGCCCTCATCCAGGCCGTGGCCCCGACCCCTGGCCCCACCCCTGTCTCTGTGCTGCCTTCTTCGACCCCCAGCTCCACCCCTGCCCCCACTGGCCTCAGCCTTCCGCTTGCTGCTAACCAGGGTGAGGCTCTTGGCCTTTGTATTTATTCAGCCCTTACCTGGCCTTGGTCCTTCCAGGCATGTCTTGGGCCAACTGTGTGTCTAGCCTTCCCTCAGTGTTGTTTCTCTTGACAATATCTCCAGTATCTGTCTGCCACTTTTTCTTTCCCCTGAACTACTTCCATCCTTCGGGTCTCTCGTTTCTGTTCTACCTTCCTCTCAATGTAGCTTCTTCTTGCAGTGCCACCATCCATGGTGAACAATACAGGTGTGGTGAAGATCGTAGTAAGACAGGCCCCTCGGGATGGACTTACTCCTGTTCCGCCACTGGCACCAGCACCCCGGCCTTCAAGTTCTGGGCTTCCAGCGGTGTTGACATCACGGCCTACATTAACCCCTAGCCGTCTAACCACACCTACTCTGGGTACTACTCGAGCCCCTATACCAACACCCACTCTGGTGAGGCCCCTCCTCAAGCTGGTCCACAGTCCTTCGCCTGAAGTCAGTGGTGAGTTTATAACTGCTGAGGTCAGAAATTTTTTATCAGAAATAACACATTGGTATTCCTGAAGGTTTCTTAGTCACACTAGATCCCTTTGTCTTAATTTTCTATGAGTCTCAAGCCTTGACCTATTTAAGAGATATTTGTCAGAATCTTAGAGAAAGGCCAAGCTACTGTATTTCTTAAATTTTTGATCTCATGTTGTGGAAATGAAGGTTTTCTGGGATGTTGGTAAAGCTTGTGGCTTAATGGAAGGGTTGGGACAGGTGGTAGCAGGAGCAGAAAAATAATTCTTCATGAAGCTAACTTATCCTTTGTGTCTCCACAGCATCAGCACCTGGAGCTGCTCCCATCACCATCTCTTCTTCTCTGCATGTGCCGTCCTCACTCCCTGGGCCAGCCTCTTCTCCAATGACAATTCACAATTCCTCTCCCCTTGCTAGTCCTGTGCCCTCTACAGTCTCTGTCCCTGTGTCATCTTCACTTCCCATCTCTGTTCCTTCTACACTTCCTGCCCCAGCCTCTGCTCCACTAACCATACCCATCACAGCCCCCTTGCCTGTTTCAGATTTAGGTCCAGCTCTGTTGACTAGTGTGGCTCCAGCACTGGCTGTTGTCTCAGCAGCCTCTGGACCACCTTTGGCATCAGCTGGGGTTTCCCCATCAGTATCAGCCTTGGCTCTAGGTTTGGCTACTACTCCAGCTCTGTCCCCACCTCAGACATCTGGTCATTCTCTGTTGTTGGCTACCACGTCTTCACATGTTCCAGGATTGAACTCACCTGTGGCTCCAGCATGTTCACCTGTCCTGGTGCCCGCTTCAGCTTTGACCAGTCCTTTCCCGGTATCACCAAGTTCAGCTCCAGCTCAGGCTTCCCTTCTGGCTCCAGCACCTTCTACATCTCAGGCTTTAGCCTCCTCTCTGACTCCTATGACAGCTTCACAGACAGCAATCCTGGGCCCTTCTCCTACTCCTCCTCTGGCTCCACTTCCAGTCCTGGCTCCGTCACCAGGCTCTGTTCCTGTTCTGGCTACATCACAGACTCCAATTCCAGCTATAACACCACCATCAATGCCAGGAACCCCTTTACCCTCATCATCACTGGTATCAGTTTCAACTCCTGTATTGGCTCCCTCATCAACAACTATGGTATCAACCCCAGTTTCATCACCTCTATCAAGCCTGGCTTCTACTCAGACATTGACCTTAGCCCCAACTTTAGCAACTCTTGGTGGATTGTCTCCATCTCAGACACATTCTTTAGGAACAGGGAGCCCTCAAGGGCCCTTTTCAACTCAGACATTGTCATTGACTCCAGCATCATCCCTGGTTTCAACACCAGGGCAGACACTGTCTTTAGCATCAGGAGCACCAATGGGTCCAACTCAAACACTGTCTCTGGCTCCAGCACCCCCTATGGCCCCAAGTTCTCCAATAGGCCCAAATCCAGCTCACACACTGACTTTGGCTCCAGCATCATCATCTGCTTCACTCCTGGTCCCAACTTCAGTGCAAACACTGACTTTGAGCCCTGCTTCAGTTCCTGTGTCCACTCTGGGTCCAACTGCCACCCAGACTTTAGCACTGGCCCCAGCCTTAACACAGGAACCAACTTCCCAGGCGTCTTCCCTCATCGTTTCAGCATCTGGTGCGGCTTCCTTACCTGTCACCATGGTAAACCGGGTATCTGTTCCCAAGGATGAGCCCGAAACACTGACTTTGCGATCTGGTCCTCCCAGCCCTATTCCCACTGCTACCTCGTTCAGTGGGCCCCGGCCTCGACGCCAGCCCCCACCACCACCTCGTTCCCCTTTCTATCTGGTAAGTTTTACTTCCACAAAGGAATTGGATATTGAGGGTCTTTTAGTAGGTTTTATAGAAGTTATAATGCTGCCAGGCCTTGGTGTTGCACACTTTTAATCCCAGCACTCGGGAGGCAGAGGCAGGATGATCTCTGTGAGTTCGAGGCCAGCCTAGAGCAAGTTCCAGCACAGCCCCCAAAGCCACAGAAAAATCCTGTCTCAAAAAAAAAAAAAAAAAAAAAAAAACCAAATAAGTATCTTCTCAGAGGATGTTTAGTTTGTGTTTTGGTACTAGGAATTGTACCCAGAACCAAAGAGTAAACTCAACAGTACAAAATTAAATAACCCAGGATCAGAAAAGTCCAGATCTTACCCTGTCTTTTTCTACCTATCAGAGATGTTGTATATTCTTTACTAAGCAAAAGTTTCCACCAGTGAGGTATGTCACCAATGCTTGCCCCCTCTTTTTTGTGTTGGTTGGTTGGTTTTCTTTTTGGTTTTTTGAGAAAGGGTTTCCCTGTATTGCTTTGGAATCTGTACTGGAACTTGCTCTGTAGATGAGGCTGGCCTGGAACCTACAGAGATCCCCCTGCCTTGGCCAGTGCTGGGATTGTGCACAACCATGGCTAAGAACAATTTGGTAGCTTTAAAGACAAACTAGAATGTAGGGGAAGCTGTAGCCACGCCTACTTAGGGGCTGGCTACAGGTGTGCCTGACCACGCTTGTGAAGGCTTGGTCAGAGTGACATAGTGTGACTGCGTTTGCGCTTTCGGTTTCACTTTTCTTCTTGATGGACAGCCTGCTGCCACTCCGGCTGGCTAGGTCGCTCTGTAAGTAAGGCTTTTCCCTATTAAATACCCTTATATTTCTACCTGACTCCGTATTGGTAATTTCCCACTATACTAGAAAGACATGGGAAAGAAATAAATCAAGGTCTTTAAGATTTCCAAGCTTCTCCAAAGCCACAGAGAAACCCTGTCTCCAAAAAAAAAAAAAAAAAAAAAAAAAAAAAAAAAAAAAAAAACCTAAACAACAACAAAAAGATTTACGGGCTGGAGAGATGGATCAGAGATTAAGAGCACTGGCTGCTCTTCCAGAGGTCCTGAGTTTAATTAAGTTCATTTACATGAGCATAAGTGGGTGGTTATTAAACTGTGGCTGGCTATATCATTGAAGAAAATGACTTTCCCTTTCCCCTTTAACTGCTCCATCTTGAGTAGGTAACACAGCATGTGAGTTCATGAATGTAGCAACTGTGTCATATTTACAAGACATTTCACAGCACTCTTTCTCATTATCCAGCCCTTATATTCATTTCTGTCCCTCTTGATGTTTTCTGTGCTATAAAAAAGGTGATGACCTGGTTAGGGCTGAGCACTTTACAGCTATTCTTAGCACCATGACAAGTTACTACTCTCTGCATACAGAACCTTCTCTGCCCAAGGATGAGAGCAGTGCTGATCTGAGTACGAGGTGACCTAAACACAGAAATAAATGTTTAGTGTGCAGCTTGGCATTGTAAACTCAAGTCCTCAGGCTTGTGTGGCAGTATGTTTACCCACTGAGCCATTTTACCAGTCCAGCTATGAACTTTTGGGCAGGTTTAAAGTACCAACCTCCTTCCTGTGGAGGATGGATACCTCAAACCCAAGCAGAAAGCAAGTGATACCTTCATAACATGCCACTGTTAAACTAAGGGGCACATCTTTCCTGGCATGTTGATTTTATAACTTGAAGGGTTCACAGCTAGAAAAGGCCATCACCGATTTTACTCCCCTAGTAGTTTGTTGAACATTTTGTGGCACCATGACATCTAGGTCCTACCCATAATGTGTAGAGTCTTCTGCAATAGGTTTTTACTATCTCACCTTGTTGGAAACCAAGAGCAATGGAAATAGTCTTGTTTGGGTGCCTTCTGTGTCCTCCCTGACCAACAATTCATAGGTAGATAACTCATACCTGGCAACTGGATATCATTTGATAACTTACGAATAGTCTTATCCACCCATACAAGTTACCTGCTTATGCCTTATTTTTTTTTCTTTCTTTTTTCCTCCCTTGTGTGTCGGCTGGAGAGTTGGCCTACTGGTAAAGAGTGCTTGTTTTTGTAGAGGGCTGTAGTTTAATTCCCAGTACCCACATGGTGATTCGAAACTCCACGTTCCAGGGGATACAACACCCTCTTCTGGCCTCCAGGGTACTGCATGCGTGTGGTGCATAAACATACATGCACACAAAAATACCCATACACAAAATAATGAATTAAAATTATGTGTTTGTATGCTTGAGGGGGAAAGAGATTTTAGGAAAGAACATCGAGGGTCCTCTATCACTGTTCACTGATTTGAGACCTGGCGCTCTCTTTGAATCTGGGATTTACATTTTCTTGACTAGCCTGGAGTCAGCAAACCTCATGATACCCTGTCTGTCCCCTTCAGTGCTATGACCACAGGCATTTGTGAGAATGATTAGTATGTTACTTGGGTATTGGGATCCAAATTCAGGCACTCAACGATTGTAGAGCAAGCACTCTTAAATGCTAATTCATATTTCTTACCCATTTAATTGTATATACACACACTATTTTTATTTATTTTGAAACAGGTCTCTTTAAGTAGCCCTGGCTGTTCTGGAACTCACTATGTATACCAGGCTGGCCTGGAATGTGTGCCCTGAATCTTTTTAAATTAGCTTACAAGTTTCTTTTATCTTCAGCTTTAGTTTTGGTTAACCTTCCCCTTATCCTCTGTTCTCCCCCCCCCTTCCCCACCAACATCCCTTTCCATACCTGATAGTCTCCTCCTATTGCAGTGGTTCTCAACCTCCTTATTGCTTTGTCCTTTAGGGCAGTCATGTTGCGATGACCCCCAGCCATATTCTTGTTGTTACTTCGTAACTGTAATTTTGCTACTGTTAGGAATCATAATGTAATTATTTGATATGTAGGATACCTGATATTCAATCCAGATGTCTGACTCTGTTTAAGTCTACCATGTTTTGCCACTATGAGGATTGTAGAACTGTAGAAGCTAAAATTCTGTTAACTTTTTTCGAGTGTATCTTCAGTTCCTACTGTGGTTCATGAAAGAATTCACTGAAAAGTTATGCTTTAAAAACAAAAAACACTGTTGTCCCTCATGTTTAGTATGTTTGTGAATGCTAAATACTAAAAAAATATATATTTGTGTTGGGGGTATGTGTGGTTTATCTTGTCAGGGAGCATGGAAGCAGTTTGATAAATATGACTAATTGGGAACTATATAACTTTAAATACATATTTCTATGAATAATATATTTTATAAATATTATGTATTTGTAGAGTTTTTGGGTTGAAGTTGCTTGACTTATCATATGCTTCTAATTGGAATGTTAATTTATTATTATATGCCTTAGTGGTTATATTGGTTGAGGTAACTATTATGTACATGTAAGGAAAAAAATAGTCTTTTATTTATGCAATGGATGATTTGATTGATTCTTATGGGCCACCCTTTCACCCATTTGGATATATGTGGTAGCACCCGTCTTTAATCCTAGCACAAGGAGGTAGAGTTTCAGGATGGCCACAGCTACAAAGAGAAAAACACTGTCTCAAAAAACAAAACAAAAAAACCCCTCCTTATTTCATGCTTCCCCATTCTTCTTTTCTCATTTTTTGCTGTTTTAGTCAGTCCCCACCCCCTGGGTTTTCCCCCCTGTTTGAAACTACACCCCCTTCAGAATGCTGAATTAAAGGCAGCACACCTGGCTCAACATGTGCTGATTTTTAAATTACATTTATTTGCTTGTTTATTTATTTGTGTGTGTGCATGCAAGTGTCCATTCATATTCTATGGACCTACTGTAAGAAAATTAGGTGTCCTGAAGTTGAATGTAAGTTGAATGAAGTAAATTGTCACAAATCAGTCATGCTACAGATTGTTGGATTTCTTGGTCTTCATTTGATGTCCAGGAGCTCTGCTTTAATAGGCATTACCAGGAAAGATGCGTTTTCGCTTGTAGAGGATGGTTTCATTCAATGTTGTGAAAACAGTCATTCTCATTGACAAGTTTTAAACATGATGAAGCACACAGTATCTGCCCTCGAACTTACCACCACAGACTCCATCTATAAATAAGAATCTAGGGGGCTGGAGAGATGGCTCAGAGGTTAAGAGCACTGACTGCTCTTCCAGAGGTCCTGAGATCAAGTCCAGAAACCATATGGTGGCTCACAACCATCTGTTATGAGATCTGGTGTGCAGATATACACGGAAGCAGAATGTTGTATACATAATGAATGAAAAAAATTGTTTAAAAAAAAAGAATCTAGGTCTTTATAAAGTTTTGTTGTAAACTCTTGAATACACCAGTTTTTGTTCTTTCTTCTTTAGGATTCTCTGGAAGAAAAGCGGAAGCAGCAGCGATCTGAACGCCTAGAACGGATTTTCCAACTTAGTGAGGCTCATGGAGCCCTGTCACCTGTGTATGGGACTGAAGTCCTGGATTTCTGTACCTTGCCCCAACCTGTTGCCAGCCCCATCAGTCCTCATTCTCCTGGCCCAAGCCACCCCATCTTTTGGACTTATACCGAGGCTGCCCATCAAGCTGTACTGTTTCCCCAGCAACGACTAGACCAGCTATCAGAAATCATTGAGAGGTTGGCAGGGCTAAGTGATGATGGGAAGTGGGTCTTGGGGCTTCATGGATGTAGTTCTTAGGGCTAAAGAAGGAACTAACTTCTGTGATATTTTAAAGTCATATCTTTTACATTGTTTGCTTTTTTCTTTCACAGGTTCATCTTTGTCATGCCTCCTGTGGAGGCACCTCCCCCTTCCCTGCATGCCTGCCACCCACCTCCTTGGATGGCCCCTCATCAGGCAGCCTTCCAGGAGCAATTGGCCTGTGAACTTTGGCCCCGAGCCCGTCCTTTACACCGTATTGTATGTAATATGCGTACCCAGTTCCCTGATTTGAGACTCATCCAGTATGATTGTGGTGAGTTTTTGACCGATGGAGGACCCTCAATATTTTCTTTGTTTTGTTTGAGACAATGTCTCATGTATCCCAAGATGGCCTGTGATTTGCTTATGGAGCCAAGGATGACCTTGAAGTTCTGCATACCCAATTATTCTGCACTCTTAGTGTCAAGACTATTTACATCAAAGAGATGCAGCATAGAGGTAGCATTTTGGTAGCTTTTGTGGAAGTTAAGTATATGTGTTATTAATTGATTTATTTACTTAGTGGTTGTCATGACATCTGTCATTTTGCTTTTCATTTTGGATAATGAGTGAGACCAGCACAGCATAGAGTGTGGAAGCACACCTTCACTCCCAGCTGAGGCAGGCAGATCTTTCAGTTCAAGGCCACCCTAATTTATGCAGCAGATTACAGGACAGCCAGAACTACACAGAGAAACCTTGTCTAGAAAAAAAAAAGCACACAAGTTTGTGGGTAAAGGCAGCTATATATGATGGTGCACACTTGTAATCCTAACACTCAGGACAAAGAGGCAGGAAGATTGCTGCAAGTTCAAGATTAGTATGACCTATCTAGCAAGTTTCAGACCATCTGGACTACAAACCAAGATCTTGCCTTAAAAAGTTAATGGGAAATGGTTTATGGTGAGATTAGACTGCACAGTTAAAAAACTAGAACCCTTATATTTAATATAATGTATTTGGCTGAAAGAAACAAAACCAAGTTTTACAGGGGCTTAAACCACAAAAAAACATGTGAACATGTATGGTTTACATAATAAGAAATTCTGGGCTGGGCGTTGGTGGCGCACGCCTTTAGTCCCAGTACTCAGGAGGCAGAGGCAGGCAGATCACTGTGAGTTCAAGGCCAGCCTGGTCTATAGAGTTAGTTTCGGGACAGCCATGGAGAAGCCCTATCTAGAAAAGTGCCCCCCTCCAAAAAACATCTTTACTGATTATTTTTGTATTTATGTGAAGGTGACTACCAAAACTGACAATTTTCTAAATGTCCTAGAATATGAGAAAATATTAATTTATACTCAGGTTTTCTTAGTGAAAAACAAACCTTTTTTGCCTGGGATAGTAAGTATGTACCTGTTATCAGCATCTGAGAAGCTTGAGCAGGAAATTAAGTTTGACACCTTGTCTACATAGTAAGACCTGGTCTAGGGTTGAGAGGGGGAAAATTTTTCTTGTGTATAGAATGTGTCTGTGCATGCATACATGTGTGAGTACATCTGTATTTTTAGTGTGGAGGCCAGAGGCCAGAGATCATTGTCAATTCTCTATCACTGTCCACCTTTTTTTCTGTAATTGATTAAATTTGCTTTTTAACGATTTTATGTTGTTACACAAGTTTACATACACAGTTTCTTTTTTTTTTTTTTTAAGATTTATTTATTATATATGCAGACTTTTGCCTACATGTGTTCCTGCACACCAGAAGAGGGCACCAGATCTCATTATAGATGGTTGTGAACCACCATGTGGTTGCTGGGAATTGAGCTCAGGACCTCTGGAAGAGCAGCCAGTGCTCTTAACCTCTGAGCCATCTCTCCAGCCCCCACATATGCAGCTTCTTGAGAGGGTTTTGTTGTTGTTGTTGTTGTTTTATTGTTACTTGTTTTTTTTTGTTTTTTCCCCCGAGACAGGGTTTCTCTGTGTAGCTTTGGAGCCTATCCTGGTACTCTTGCAGACCTGCCTGGTCTCAAACTCATAAATCTGCCTGCCTCTGCCTCCTGAGTATTGGGAGTGTTGGGATTAAAGGCATGAACCACTGAAACCTACTTTGGTTTGTTTCTTGAGACAGGGTTTCTCTGGAACTCGCTCTGTAGACCAGGCTGGTCTCGAACTCACAGAGATGTGCTGGTATTAAGGGCGTGAGCCACCACAGCCTGGTCTCCCTCCCCCCCTTCCTCTTTTCCTTCCTCTTACTTATTTATTCATTTTAATTTCATTTTACATTCCAACCACAAGTTCTCCCTCCCATCCCACTTCCCCCACCCCTTGCTCACAGCCCACCCCCCACTTTGTTTCTTAACACAGGGTCTCATATTCAATCTGGAGCTCACAATTTCAGCTAGATTGGCTGGCTATCAATCCCCCTCATCCTATCTTCCTGTCTTTATCCCCATCCCAGCTTTTACATGGATTCTAGGGATTCACACTGAGGCACTCACGCTTACAAAGCAAGTACTTTCATTATTGAGTCATATCTGCAAACTCCTTTCTCTCCACTTGGCCCCCACTTTAAATAACATCTGAAATCATATCAATTAATTGCAGGTCTTTTGAAACTGGGCTGGAGGGTTAGCTCATTGGTAAATGCTTTCCTAGCAGACAGGAAGCCCTAAATTTAATCCCTAGCACAACCCTCACCACACACACACATATTGAAGCTTGGAGCTGAGGATAAAGTGACTCAGGCTTCAACTGAGGTTGTCCAGGTCTCCAACATTGCCAAAAGTTTTTATTACTTTGTTTTCTGTCAGTATCTATGTGGTATGAGGTCCAAGACAATTTATAGGAGTTGGTACCAAAACTAAATCAAGTTCTCAGCCATATCAGCAAGTACCTTTATTTATTGGTCTTCTTGCTAGTTAACTAGGAATAATGCAAATGTTATTTCTGTTTGTCTTAATAAAAAAATTTTTTTTAGATTTACCTACTTGATTTGTTTTGCCTGTGTGTATGTAGGTGTGCTACATGCATGCCTGGTGCCCAAGAAGGTCAGAAGAAGGCATCATATTCCCTGGAACTAGAATTACAGATGGTTGTGATCCATTATGTGGGTACTAGGAATCTAACCTGGTTCCTCTGTAAGAGTAACAAGTACTCTTGCAATATCTCAAGCCTCAGTGTCATTTCTATATGTTGTAACATTAAACTAGATAGCTTCTTTTCTGTTGTTGTTTTGTTTGTTTTTGCCTTTTTTTTTTCTGGAGAGATGGCTCAGACATTAAAGGTTATGCTAACAACCAAAAATATGACCTTTTAACATCTTAGTCTGGCTCAGCATTGGTGCTATAGGCCTTTAATACCAGCACTAGTGAGGGTCAGAGGCAGGTGAGTCTATATGAGTTTGAGGCCAGCCTGGTCTCCAGAGTGAGTTCCAGGACAGCCAGAGCTTTTACAGAAAGAAACCCTTTCTCAAAAAACTAAAAGAAGAAAGGAAGGGGAGGGAGGGTAGAAAATGGAGAATTAAATGTTTTTTTATTCAGTGGCCTAGTTGAATCATTTGCATAAGGTTCTGATTACTCTTCAGCTGTAGCTTCTAGTATTCTCTATGCCATCATGTAGCTAACTACTTGTACTCCTTCATATTTCTTCAGGAAAGTTGCAGACATTGGCAGTGCTGTTGCGGCAGCTCAAGGCAGAGGGCCACCGGGTGCTCATTTTCACCCAGATGACCCGAATGCTGGATGTATTAGAGCAGTTTCTCACCTACCATGGTCACCTATATTTGCGTCTGGATGGGTCTACTAGAGTTGAGCAGAGACAGGTAACTTAGGCATCCTTAGCCCTTTAGAGATGCCCCTCAACTTCTGTTTCTTTTTCTCAAGCTTTCAGCTTAGATAAGGGACCTTAAAAATTAAAAAAGCCTTTGGTTTGTTTTGGGAATAAGTCTCCAAATACCATCTTTTTTCCCTTTCCTTTTAGGCCTTGATGGAACGGTTCAATGCAGACAAACGCATATTCTGCTTCATCCTTTCAACTCGAAGTGGGGGTGTGGGTGTGAACCTGACAGGAGCAGACACTGTTGTTTTTTATGACAGCGACTGGAATCCTACCATGGATGCTCAGGCCCAGGATCGCTGTCATCGAATTGGTCAGACTCGGGATGTCCACATCTATAGGTATTGCCTGCTCCTACCTCACCTTACTTTCTCTTTATGGATCGTGTATCTCGATATGTTTGGCTGTTTACACCTCACTTCCATTTCCTAGGCTTATCAGTGAACGAACAGTAGAGGAGAATATTCTAAAAAAGGCAAATCAGAAGAGAATGTTGGGAGATATGGCCATTGAAGGAGGCAACTTCACTACAGCCTATTTTAAACAGGTACAAAATAAAATCCTTTCAGTCTAGACAGAAGAGAACATTTGTTTTTGAAAGAAAAGAGTTCCTCTGTTTGCTCGACAGCTATTGCTTTGACCTCCACAGATCTATGTTTCAATCTGTAGTACCTCCATACCTCAAAGTTTTTGGCCTAGACATAATATTCCCCTGGTTAACCTCTTCCCTTCTGTTATATACAATAGCAGACCATCAGAGAACTGTTTGATATGCCTCTGGAGGAGCCACCTGGTTCATCTGCATCTTCTGTTCCTGAGGAGGAGGAAGAGGCTGTGGCAAGCAAGCAGACTCATATTTTGGAGCAGGTAACATAAAGGGGATCAGTCCTAAAATAGTACTGCTGCTTAAATATATGTTGGCTTTCATTTATATTTGAGGGTGTTCAGGGGAAAGTACAGTGTCTATTGGTTCCCAGATTATAGTCAGTGGTTTTTTGTTTTGTTTGATTTTCTTTTCTTTTTAAGGTTATTATATGATTTTTTTTATCATTTCCCTCTTCCCTTTCCTCTCTCCAAGCCCTGTCCTTCCTTGCTCTCTTTGCAATTCATGGCCTCTTTTTTTTTGTGTGTGTGTGTGTGTGTGTGTGTGTTCCTAAATACGTAAGTACAACCTGTTCACTCCTTTGTTTAGTTTTCCAAGACAGAGTTCCTCTTTGTAGCGTTGGAGCTGTCCTGGAATTCAGTCTGTAGACCAGGCTGACCTCCAATTCACAGAAATCTGCCCTTTTTTTGCCTTCCAAGTGCTGAGACTAAAAGTGTGTACCACCAGCACCAGCCCTGTTCAGTCCATTTAGTACTACTCATGTATGTTTTCAGAGCTGACTCTTTAGTATTGGTGTCATCTTCCCTGGGGAAGCCTATTCCTCCTGCTCTCAGCATTCCTTAGTTGCTTATGGTTCTTTGTGTGGGGTTGGGGCCTCATGGTCTTTCCCCATCCACTTTGGCATATCTATTGCTGCTGTTCTTATTCATCTCATGTTCAGGCAGCCATGTTGGTGAGACTTTATGGTTGTAACTGACTAAGCACAGTCTCACAGCAAACTGTCTGATCTTTCTGGCTTTTACAGTATTTCTGCCCCCTTTCCAAAATGTCCCCTGAGCCTTAGGTGTGCAGTTATTTTGTGGATGTATCCATTGGGACAGGGCTCTATGACTCTGCATTTTGATTAGTTTCAGTTTTCTGTAAAGAGATGTTTCATTTGTTTGACTGATTTTGGTTTTGTTTGTTTGTTTGTTTAGTTTTGTGGGGTTGTTTTTATTGTGTTTGGTCTGTTTTTGTTTTTTGTTTCTTGGGTTTTGTTTTGTTTTGTTTGTTTGTTTGTTTGTTTGTTTGTTTTTTCCAAGGCAGCGTTTCTCTGTACAGCCCTGGCTGTCCTGGTACTCACTCTGTAGACCAGGCTGGCCTGAACTCACAGTCATCTGTCTGCCTCTGCCTCTTTTGAGTGTTGGTATTAAAAGTGTGCACCACTAATGCCCAGCTCTTTAACTTTTAATAATTATATTTATTACTTTGTGCCTAGTGCACATCTTTAATCCCAGCACTCAGGAAGCAGAGGCAGGTGGATCTCTGTGAGTTCGAGACCAGCCTGGTCTACAAGAGGTAGTTCCAGGACAGGCTCCAAAGCCACAGAGAAACCCTGTCTCGAAATCCCCCCCCACAAAAAAATTATATTTATTACATTATGTGTCTCTGTATGGGTGTGCATGACTGAACAGAGGACACTTAAGACCAGACAGGCCTCTGCCTCCCCTTTGTTGGGATTATTAAAGGCATGTCTCACCGCTGCCAGAAGCCTCCATGTTCTTCAATTTCTTATTTGTGTATGCTTTGTTTTTCTTCTGTACACTTTGAAGGCATTGTGTCGGGCAGAAGATGAAGAAGATATTCGTGCAGCCACCCAGGCCAAAGCTGAGCAAGTGGCTGAACTTGCAGAATTTAATGAGAACGATGGGTTTCTTACTGGTGAGGGAGAGGAGGCCAGTCGCCCTGGGGCTGAGGAAGAGGAGATGTCCAGGGCTGAACAGGAGATTGCTGCCCTTGTAGAACAGGTCAGTGTTGGATCGGCTACCACTTCTCTTCATCTGTCATAACTTATGCCAAGACTCAGACTTTGTTTTTCCCATGTCTTCCCTGGTGGTAATAAATAGATCCTTCCTAATGTTTATCAACATACTCTTCCCTACAGCTGACTCCCATTGAGCGCTATGCCATGAAATTCCTAGAAGCTTCATTGGAGGAAGTAAGCCGAGAAGAGCTCAAGCAGGCAGAAGTAAGTCTTTCTGGGGAATGGGGTAGTGGAAAGCCACTCATTTCTACTCTGCCACTTGCTGACCATATTGGGCTGTGTTATTGGTAGGAACAAGTGGAAGCTGCCCGAAAAGACCTGGATCAAGCCAAGGAGGAGGTGTTTCGATTGCCCCACGAGGAAGAGGAAGGGCCAGGGGCTGGGGATGAGGTGTCCTGTGGATCTAGTGGAGGCAGCCATCGGCGCAGTAAGAAAGCGAAGCCTCCTGAGAGGCTGGGGACTCGTGTCAGTGAGCGTCTTCGTGGAGCTCGGGCTGAGACTCAAGGAGCAAACCACACTCCTGTCACATCTATGAAGTGTGCACAGCCCCCTGCCCCTGCCCCTGCCCCTGCCCCTGCCCCTGCTCCTGCTCCTGCTATAAATTCTGCCCTAGCCACAGCTCCCATACCCATTTCTGCCCCAAATCCAATAACCATTCTTCCTGACCATATCTTGCCTACTCCTGCACCTCTGCTTCAGCTTCCTCCATCTTGTTCTTCTCTTACTTGCATTCCTCCTCCAGCCTGTACCCCTCTACCCACTTGTACCCCCTCACCAGCTCAAAACTCTCATTTGACCTCTTCTCCACCAACCCTACTTGATTCCCTTCCTGTTCCCATCTCTCCTGGGATTACCAACCTTCCCTTGGACTCAGGAGAATTAGAGCTTCATAAACAAGAGTTGGTACCTACCGAGTCTCTAGAGCTTCCTGGAACAACCAATTCTGAGGCTTCCCTTGTTAATTTTGTGCCTCCAAAGGATCTTTTGTCAGGGGTTGTTGATGCTCTGCCTGAGTCAGAGAAGAATCATCTAATTCCTGCACCCAGTTCAACCTTGGAAGCTGGCAGCATCCCCAATGGTCAGCAGCAGGAAGTGCCAGGTCCTGTGGAGGGGGATGGTCCCACACTGTTACCTGGTGGTGAGGAGTTGACCGTGAATCTGAGTGAGAGCAATGGCCTGGAGCTCCCACCCTCAGCAGTATCTGATGAACCACTTCAGGAGGTATTGGAGGCTCACAGGAACTTGGAAGAAATGGGAGAGGTTCGGATCCAAATCTCCAACCCAGAAAAGCCACAAGAAATTGTTAGACCCGAGGTTATAGCCCGATCAACCTCATCTTCAGCCACCTCCTCTCCTGAGGGTCCTTCACCCGCACGTCCCCCACGGCGTCGTACCAGTGCTGATGTAGAAATCAGGGGCCAGGGGTCTGGCCAGGCAGGACAACCTCCAGGTCCCAAAGTACTCCGAAAGCTGCCAGGACGGCTGGTAACTGTGGTGGAGGAAAAAGAACTTGTGAGACGACGGCGACATCGGGGAACTGCCAACACGCTGGTACCTGGGGTATCTGAACCTAGCACCAGTCCAGGAAGCCCATCCACCCATAGCATGTCAGGGCCAGAATCCTCACCTCCCAGCAGTGGGCCCTGTGAAGCTGCTCCTTCATCCTCACTGTCCACCCCCACCCAGCATCCCTTCATAGCTTGTCGTCACATTGAACTGGGTATGACTGGTGGGGGCAGCCCAGAGAATGGAGAAGGAGCAGAGCTTCCCATCACTCCACCAGCTGTGAAACGTCGGAGGGGGAGGCCCCCTAAGAAGAACAGGTCTCCAGCAGATGCTGGGAGAGGGGTGGATGAGACACCATCCATCTCTAAGGGGAAAACCAATGGAGTTGACCCAGTCCCTGGGTCTGAGACAGTAACTGTTGCAGAACCTGCCCTCAGGCCCCAGTTTGTTCCTGGGCCGCAGCCTCTTGGACCTGAACCAGTTCACAGACCAGAGCCCATCCTATCACCTGTGGAGAAAAGACGACGTGGGCGTCCTCCTAAAGCAAGGGATTTACCCATTCCTGGGACCATATCCTCTCCAGGGGATGGCAATTTAGAGAGCCGGACACAGCCACTCCCTTTCCCAGCACCCCTGACACCACTCCCACCACTCCTAGCCTGTCCCACTGCTGTCACCAACACAGTCACCACTGTCACCATTTCAACATCCCCACCTAAGCGGAAGCGGGGCCGACCTCCCAAGAACCCACCATCTCCGCGGCCCAGCCAGCTCCCTGCCGTGGACACCGACAGCTCTTCTGTCCTTGAGAGTTGTGGATTGGGGGTGCGGCGGCAACCTGTGGGCCAGGTGGAAAGTGAAGGCAGTTCCTCTGATGAGGATGGAAGCCGCCCTCTCACGCGCCTGGCCCGCCTCCGGCTTGAAGCAGAGGGAATGCGGGGACGAAAGAGTGAAGGGTCCATGGTGATGGCCGTAATTCAGGACGACCTGGATTTAGCAGATAGTGGGCCAAGTGGGTTAGAACTGACACCACCTGTGGTCTCATTAACTCCCAAATTTCGCTCAACCCGCCTACGTCCAGGGTCTCTAGTTCCCCCACTAGAAACTGAGAAAATGCCTCGCAAAAGGTCAGGGCCTTCAGTTGGGAGTTCTGGGATGGCAAAGCGGGGTCGCTTGCAGCCCCCAAGTCCCCTGGGGCCTGAGGGTTCAGTAGAGGAGTCAGAGGCAGAAGCCTCAGGTGACGAGGAGGAAGGAGATGGAACCCCACGCCGCCGAACCGGTCCCCGCAGGCTCGTTGGGACCACCAACCAAGGGGACCAGCGTATCCTGCGTAGCAGTGCTCCTCCCCACCTATCTATCCCTACTATTAGTCACAGAGGTCGAAAGGCCAAGACGTGAGTGGGTAGACCCTTCACCTAGGTATCCCACCATGGTCGCTTCCCCACGCCCAGGCCTGACTCTGTTAACCACTACTTGAAGTCTGAGGGGAAAAGCCTCCAGGGAGACATAGGGGGCTGTCTCCCTTTCCACCAAAGTAGGGGGTAGGTAACTGGTTGTCATGGAAATGGGGCTCATCACAACCCCCCCTCCTACCCTATATGGCTGGGCAGTGTTAAGGGTGGCAAGATAGTCTCTGTCCCCACCCCCTTGTACTTGATTCCCCAGCTGTCTTTCACAGCCTCAAACCCTTAGGGAAAAGGGGAGGGGCTTTTCTTCAATGAGGTGGGGTGGGTTTTTGGTTTTTTGTTTTTTGTTTTGTTTTTTTGTTTTTTGTTTTTTTTTTTTTTTTTTTTTTTTTTTTTTTTTTTTTTTTTTTAAAGAAGAAAACATAATAAACTTAGTTTCTGTACAAGCATCCGTGTAAGGAGGCTTCTGATTTTCTGGTCTGGTGGAGGGTTGGGTGGGAACTTGGATATAATTTTTCACCTCCCTCTTGAAGTGACCCCATACCTGATCTCTAATCTAAGATTGTATACTTTTAAAGCAGAACTTAACCCCTCTCTCAGTCAGAAAAAAGGGAAGATTGTCAAATCTGATATGGTAGGCTGTGTAGTCTTGGTTTCAGACCACTCAGACATAGCTCTTTTCTCTGACTCTTGAGCTTCCCTCAGCTCTCCCACGCCTTCAAGTTCCCTTTCAGCCTCCTTGCTCAGGTGCTTCCTTACACTCCTTTCTTCAGAAAGCAGGCATCCTCCATTTGCTTCATGCCTTGGCCCTCCTCTGCTCTCCATCTAGCCAAACTGGTTTGAGTTGGCCATGCCCTGTCCCAGCTCCCTGGGCTCTTCACATGGTGTCTGGCCCCACAACTCTACCTTGGCTTGGCTTGGAGCCATGAGTCAGCTTCATCTCCACCCAAGCCAAATCAAACCTGAGGCAGGAGCCGAAACTCACAGTCCCTCAAAGCCTATAGCCAGGTAAGAATCTATGTTCATGTTTATAATTTCTAACCTTAACTCGCCCTGTTCTTGGGCTCTTCTCACTTGCTGACACTTCAGTTCTTGCCTCAACTTGCCATTGCAGCTTTGCTACACGTCCTTTTGCTCTCTCATCTCTGCATTCTTGTGCTTGAGAAGCCACAGGTGGTTTTTGTTTTGCTCAAGCTGTAGGAGAATGATTAGACATGAGGATGGAAAGGGTTTTGATGTGCATAGAGGGCCTGAGAATGAGTAAAGAAGGCACTGTGCAGGTTTCTGTGTGGGCAGTGAGGTCTTTTGAGCTCTGCAGATCTGACTGTGTTGTCTGGTCTGAGTTAAAATGGAGAGAGAAGGTGGCAAGAAGGCATCATAGCAAGGGAAGATGTGTTTAGGGTTTGGGATGTTTTGGTTGTGTTTTTGGTTTTGTTTTGAGACAGGATCTCATATATCCTCAAACTCCGAACTGGCAATACTGGTCTTGAACTCTTGATCTTTCTGCTTCCACCTGTCCAGAATCGGGGATTGTAGATGTCTGCCACCACTACTGGGTTAGGTGTTCGTTTCTTTTTAAGGTTTTTTGTTTTATAAGCAGGAAAAAAGATTTTCCCTTTCCTTCATTCCCAGAACTGTTTTCATGCTGGGTATGGTGTCACACGCCTTTAGTCCCAGCACTCGGGAGGCAGAGGCAGGTGGATCTCTTTGAGTATATATGGTCTACATAGTGAGTTCCAGGGCAGCCAGGACTATATAGAGAAACCCTGTTTTTTATTTTAAATCCCAGCACAAGGGAGTAGAGGGAGGTGATCTCTGAATTTGAGGCCAGGCTTGTCTACATAGTTCAGGCCAGCAAGGGAGAGCTACATAGTGAGACCCTGTCTCAAAACAAAATACGGTACTTACTTAAACAGGATTTTGAGATTCTATATCTTGTTTCTTGGTATGCATGTCAGTTTGCTTCTCTATACTTGTTGAAATTAAGAGTATTTTCACACATGCTTGCCCTCAAAGATTGAGACTTAAGCGTATGGAGATGATTCCATCCATGGTATTTAGTCTCTTGGTCTGAGTCATTGGTGGAATTTCCCAGTACAACAGCATTCCTAAGTATAGGGTTAGGACAGAAGACAGCATGCTTTGAGAAGGGTGGAGTCACCACGCCAGAGCAAGAGCTCATTTGTTGGGCTTAAAAGTACCTTGACTGTATCGCCCACAGGTGATGGAGGACGAGGAGAAGGCAGCGGAGAGCTTGATGAGCAACATGGAAGCTGCTCATTCTCCATCGCCTATCCACTGCTGCTGGCTCCGCCTCCGCTACTTGGCAGCTACTAGCATTATCTGTGGCTGTTCTTGCCTGGGAGTCATGGCTCTTGTGTTTGCCATCAAGGTGAGGAATATAATTCCTGTGGGTAAAGGGATGGGTATAAGAAAATGATTTTGTGTATCTAATCTGTCTACAGTTTAAATTAAACAGTTACTAAATACCTACTGATGCTTAGCTATGGGCTTAGTGCCAGAATAAGAGATAGTTGTAAAAATGGATAATTAGAATGCAGCTCACCAATACTGTGGTACAGGGGAAACACAGGGTACTTTAGGAACAAAGGAACAAGGAAAGTTACATTGCGCGCGCGCGCGCGTGCGTGCGTGCGTGCGTGCGTGCGTGCGTGTTGTGTGTGGGGGGGGGGGGGGGGGGGGGGGGGGGGGGGGGGGGAGTAGAGAGTATGTTATGTTAGGCCATCAGAGAGAGAGAGAAAGAATATGTTAGGCTACCAGAGCATCCCAAAGATGACAAGAAGATAACTTTAAAGAGTGAGTGTATGAGGGTGAAAGAACAATCCAAATAAAGGCAACAATGAGTACAAACGGTTAAATGAGGAATACTGAAAATTGACGTTAAAGATCTAGATTCCTGAGGGCCTCCAATTCTGTATTTGGAAATTTTGACTTTATCTTGAATATTAGAGAGCAATGTGAAAATTATTTCAAGGGAGTAACATGGCCAGATTTGTGTTCCAGAAAGATCTACTCAAAGCCTCCTTTGAGGTTGAATCACAAGGGGCAAAACTACAGGCAGACAGTTGCATAGTGATTAGAGCAATTCACCTGTGCCCTTTTTTGTGGCGGCAGTGGGAATGGTGCTGCTAGGAATTGAGCCCAGAGCCTTGTCAATAATTGCATTGTCACTAAGCTCGGTATATATGGATGCCTACTGAAAGGCTAATCAAGCTACCATAAACATAATTACTGGAATTTTCTCACCCCATTGATGAGTCTTAACAGTCAGAAACACTTTCTGCCACCATAAGAATTTCACTGGGGCAAAATCATAAAAGATGCTACATGATGAAAATGAAGGTGCTTGTTGGGCCATGAGGGATTTGACTGGATGTGACTCATTTGAGTCAAGAAATTCTGAATGAACAAATGTGGGATAGATAGAAAATAATGGGAACAGAAGCACTTAAAAGTATTTTCTGCCCAGAAATGTAATTCAACAGAGTACTTGGCTAGTATGCCCAGACCCTGATACCATCACCATACCACAAAACAAGCCAAAGCCTTTAAAAAACATTTTCCATGTGCAATCTTCTAAGCTAACTGGCCACTTGAAAAGTAGGAAGGACTGCTATGGATAGTTTGTTGTAGATGAGACAAGAAAGGCAAAGGAAAGGATGTAAAATATTTGGATGTGAGAATATAAGGTATGGTAGATCAATTAATAGAGTGGGGCAGTGGGCACTTGGGGACAGAAGCAGGGGGAGAATCTAACCAAGAACCTGCCCCCACAGGCAGAAGAGCGGCATAAGGCAGGCCAGTCGGAGGAGGCCATGTACTGGGGGGCCAGGGCCCGGAGACTCATTCTGGCCAGTTTTGCTGTCTGGTTTGCTGTCCTTGTTCTGGGTCCCCTGCTGCTGTGGCTACTCTCCTACACCATTGCACAGGCTGAGTAACCCTGGGTGGCCTTTGCTGAGAGCCAGTCAAGACCTGGATCCAGTCCAACAGCGCGGCAGTGCTCAGTTCTGGTGACAGGAGTGGTTCGTGGTTCTTCCTGTCTGGAAGGATGTTGCCTTTCTCGGGAGCCATTGGAAGAGCTCATCTAGGCTATTCAAAGCACCTGAGACTTCACGGGGAGGTCAGCCTGCTCTGTTCTTTCATTACCCTCTGCTTTGTCTCCCCTGCCCCTCCATCCTAGGAGCCTCCATTCAGAGAAAGGGTTGAAAACCAGGCTTGATTTTTATTAGAAGTTGTTTTGTAATAAAAACCTTTTTTGGTGGTGAAATTTTGTCTTATTGTTCTTTTTCCTGCTTTCCCTTGGGCCTTTGGTAAAGGCAAGACTAGACATCTAAGTGACGACTTAAGCCTGTATCTAACTCTAACCTCTATGTAGGTACCCCAAGGAAGGGATAGGATTTTTTTTTTTTTTTTTTTTTTTTTTTTTTTTTTTTTTTTTTTAAGAAGTTTCCCTTGGCGGGGGGGATCAGCTTCTTGTCTATCAGCCACGACTCTGAAATCAGACAATAGTAGCTAGCACATTGTTTATTGACTAGTTTTACTGCTAGGCTGTGATCCAGACACTGTTTCTTCTGAGCCCTCACAGTGACTCAATAATAGGTACCTTAGTTCTTTATAGTTGAGTAAACGGGTACATATGTGTCCTAGGTCCTAAAAGTTAAAAATAGAAAAGGTAGATTGAATTCAGACAGTTTGATTCCAGAGGGATGAAAAGATTGGATTACAAGAACAACCACTGTGTATCCTGACAGTTATATGATTAACTATGTTTTATATTCTTTAACTTGGGACTCCTGATAATATTTTAAACTTTAAAGGTCTGTAAATGTACATTTGGGGGGTGGGTTTTGTATCTGTTTTTTTGGGGGGTGTGTTTTTGTTTTTTTAATTGAGTCAGACTGTGCTCAAAAGTTGCTGTGCAAGTGCTGGGATTACTGGTGTACACCACCATGCCTGACTGTTTCTGTTTTTATTGTTTTGTTTTCTAAAATGACAAGATCATATAGCCCACTCTGGCCTCGAACTCCTTCTTTTGCCTTCTGAGTGCTAGAATTGCAGATGTACACCACCACACTCAGCTTAAATATTTTCTTAAAGTTTTGAAACCCACACGAAGATATCCAGACAAATACACAGTTTAAATGACTACCTAGCCAAAACCTGAAAGCTACTACTCAAATTGATTGTTGTCAGCACTGCAAAACTTTAATACCCTCTAATCTTTGGTTTTTTGAGATAGAGTTTCCTCTGTCTAACAGCTGTAGCTATCCAGTAACTGACTCTAGACCAAGCTAGGCTCGAAGTCACAGAGATCCACCTTCCTCTGCCTCCCCAGTGCTGGGATTAAAGGCGTGATCCACCAACACCCAGCTGTCATTTCTTATCACAAGTAACTACTATTCTGACTTCACAATGTAATTTTGCTTGATTTTGCTCTAGAGAGATGACAGTCAATCAACCAATCAAGAAATAAATGTTTAAATTGGGATATATGGGCCGGGCAGTGGTGGTGTACACCTTTAATCCCCACTTTGGAGGCAGAGACAAGAGAATCTCTGAGTTCAAGGCCAGCCTGGTGACAGAGAAAGTTCCAGGACATTGGGTGCTGTTACACAAAAAAATAAATAAAAAAGTGTGTCGGGGGCAAGGGCTGGAGAAACATTCCACAGTTAAGAGCACATGTTCAAAACAAAAACAAAAAACAAACAAACAAAAAAACCTGTTCTTGCAGAAGACCTGGGTTTCATTCCCCATATTTACATGGTTAGTCATACCTCTGTAATGGCAGTTCCAGGGTTTTCCAGTTTCTTCTGATCTCTATAGGTACCAGGCATGTATGTGGTGCACATACATATAAGTGGGTAAAACTTTAATACACAAAGCTATACATACATGCACACGAAAACCTTAATGGGATACAAGAGCATCTTCCTCAAAAATCATTAAGGCCTGGAGAAAGGATGACTGAGGAGTTAAGAGCACTTACTGCTCTTGCAGAGGAGCCAAGTTTAGTCCCCAGCACCCACATCCAGAAGCTTACAACTGCCTGTAAAACTCCAGCTTGGGGGGCGGGGGGTCAACATGCTCTGGACTCTATGGGTACATGAGTAAATAAAAATAAATTGGACTTTATAGAGATGGAGTCATATATCTTGTTGTCTTTGCTGTTAGCTGTATAGTGAGTATTGTATATAGCTGTAGTTTTGCTGCTGTTTATATCAATACATTATAATTTGTTAATTTTCTGTTGGTATCGTTGAGGTGTTTCCAATTCATGAACATTATAGAACCGTGCTACTATGGATATTCTTGTACTACCCTCCCCCCCCCCATTGTTTTTTACACAGGGTCTGACTATATAGCTCTAGCTTCCTGGAATTCACTATTTAAACCAGGCTACCCTTTGCTTCCCATGCACCATGCCTGCCTGGTTCTTGAACATGTCTTTTGAAGTTCATGTGCCTCACGAATAGATTTTATTTATTTATTTGTTTGTTTATTTATTTATTTATTGAGGCAGGGTTTTATAGTTGTCCCAACTCACAGGACAGCAACCTAGAGCAAGAAGTCCAGGGAGGGAATGGGGACAAGAAATGCCAGAGAATGACCATAAGACAGGATTATGATCAAGTGGCAAATTTTATTTTTTCCAGGATAGCTTCTGTAGTTAGTAGTATGGGGTAAAGAGGAGGGGGAGAAAAGGCCAAGAGCAGGTGTTAGTTTAAGCAGAATGTTAGAAAACTATAGAAAGAGGATGTTGGCAGGGTAAAAAGTTCATGGGTGGTGGGGAGAGGGAGGGTTACCTAGGTGAGTGGTGGGACGCTGGAGAGTTACTTAGGTGAGTGGTCCTGTGGTTGGAACAAAGGATTGACGTCTGGGTCATGTTGTTCCTTCTGGGTGCTCATGCTTCTAGAAGCCATTTATAATCAAAAGACAGTTCTATAATGATGTGGCTTGCCAAGTTTGGCCTAAAGGTTCATGTCAAGCTCTATGGCTCCCAACAGGGTTTCTCTGTATAATTTTGGAGGCTATCTTGGCACTTGCTCGAACTCACAGAGATTGGCCTGCCTCTGCCTCCAAGTGCTGGGATTAAAGGCATGTGTCACCAACGCCTGGCACGAATAGAATTTTTGAGTGACTTTACCATTATTCAGAAAGAAAAAGGAAAAGGGAAGAGCTAAACAAATTAGAGATGCATACACTGATGAGAAAGAGAGAGACACATTTTAGCTGGCTTCAGTATTCCAAAATGCTGTGTTACTTCTGGGGAGACAGGAACAAATATGTTCACAGTAGATAGGAAACCAACAACAGACCAAGGAAAAAACTCAAGTCTATGAGCCAATGAGTGTATTGGGGTTATTTACAGGAACACAGGTGACTTCAAAGGCAGCTATATCATTGAAAAGTCTACTTCCCCAGTTGTTACTGCTCCTCCTGATGTTTTCCAAGTCTGTGAGACATTCAAGGGTTAGCTTTATATAATGAAACTTTATCACAGAGAACAAACAGGCTCTCTGAAGTCCATTCCAGCAGAGGATACTCTGAAAACATTAGCAAGATCCAATACAACATTTGAATCAGTTCTTTGGGAGAGTAATTTTGGGCCCAGTAGCACAGACGGGACAGCACCATACCAAAATTCACATTTGCCTTGAGCCATCTGGTCTCATTCCTTTGGGTGATGCACATCATCCCCCATGTCTTGAATGATCTCAGTAGAGCTAATTTGCATTGGTTGGCCTGGCCCAAAGCCAAGTGGAAGTAAGGCCAGCAATGCCAGCCTGCTACACCTGCCAATGGAGCCAGCTTTCAGGGTCTGACAGGCTCTAAACTTGTGCTGTGGCCACTACTCTCCATTAACCACACCTAATTGCAAATAAACTCCACCCTCTGTATCCTTTTTCCTATAGGAGTATTATGCTCTGGGGAGGATAATTGCCCACTTCTAGGAAAAGCTTTGGTGAAGCTTATGGCTTTTTTACATAAGAATGCTGGCTTTATAGATATCTTGCTACATTTGTCACAATTTTTTTTATCACAGCTGGAATTTTAAATTGCATGTGTGATTGTTTTGCCTGCATGTATGTATCTGTGCCACATGCTTTCCTAATGTCCAAGAAGGTCAGAAGAGGGTCCATCTCTCCTGTCCCCATGTTTATTGGTTTTGTGTGTTGTGCGGGAGAGCTCTAGCACAGCATGCAGATAGAAATAAGAGACAATGTTCAGGAATTGGTTTTGTTGCACCACATGGGACCTAGGAATTGACACATCATCAGTGTTGGTGACAAGTATTTTTACCCAGTGAACTATCTATCTCACAGGCTGTTTTTATTTTTTAAAATGGGCTTATGTATCCCAGGCTGGCCTTGAACTCCTGCCTCCACTTCCTATGTGCTGACAGATACATCACCAAGCTCAGGTGTAGTTGTCTTTAAGTGATCCCCTTTGTGATCTTTGCCTTTTTTAAAAATCCCCTTTGTTTTCAGACCTTATAAACTTGATTTACATGTGTCACCATCGTGCTCTGCAAAAGCTGTTAAAGTTCCATACCAGCCATGAGGTCTCTGCTGAATTAACTTGCTTTTCTCTTGTATCTCCTGTAAAAATAGTCCTATCAGGTCCAGTACACTTGGCACTGAGCACTGATTCTTGAATGCTGTTTCCCTAGTAATACCTACCATTTTTCTGTGGTCTCCCAGAACCTGATGTTAGGGAACTTTAGCCAGTGATAACCCAGCTGGTGTTTCATATGAACTAGTCCACCAGGGATTCTTTTCTCTTACATTTCTTCAGATTATGCAGATTTACATTATAATTTCTCTACTCCCACATACTCAAATTCCATCCATCCCCATGTCTCACAGTTTTATTAAACAGGCCATTAGGGGAATCTCATTTCTGATTTAAAAATCTTTTCCAGGGCTGGAGAGATGGCTCAGTGGTTAAGAGCACTGACTGCTCTTCCAAAGGTCCTGAGTTCAAATCCCAGCAACCACATGGTGACTCACAACCATCAGTAATGAGATCTGGTGCTCTCTTCTGGCCTGCAGGCAGAACACTGTATATATAATAAATAAATAAACCTTTAAAAAAGTCTATTCCAGGGCCAACACGATAGCTCAGGGAGTGAGAATTCCTGTCACCAAACCTGACAGCCTAAGTTGATCCTTGGAACTCACATTGTGGAAGGAGAGAACCAACTCCTGTGACCTGTCTGTTGACCACACACACGCTGTGGCATGTGCAATGCCCACACACAGCACA